GCCCCGTCACGTGTCCCCGCCGCCGCCGCCGGACTACACCTCCCGTCATCCCCCGCGGCAGCGCGTCCCGCCATGGCCTCCGCCGGCGGAGCCGAACCGGAGCGGCCGCACCCCAAACCTTTCCTCATCGGCGTCAGCGGCGGCACCGCCAGCGGCAAGGTGAGACACCGGCACCGCCACCGTCGGTTTTCTGACAGGGATCGGGCCCGCGGGGGAGCTGAGCGGTGTTCGCCGGTGCCGGCCTCAGCGTGCCGGGGCGGGCTCGGGCTTCCGTCCCGGGGGGGGGGCGGGGTGGGGTGGTGTGGTGATGTGTGGTGGGGGGGTGTCGGTCCCCGGCTGCCCCGCGGGGAAAGGCTGGGCTTGGGGTCCGTGGTCCCCCCACTCTGCCTGAGCCCCCCGTCCCCTCCCAGTCCACAGTGTGCGAGAAGATCATGGAGCTGCTGGGGCAGAACGAGGTGGACCGCCGGCAGCGGAAGGTGCTCATCCTCAGCCAGGACAGCTTCTACAAGGTGCTGACCGCCGAGCAGCAGGCCAAGGCGCTGAAGGGACAGTACAACTTCGACCACCCGGGTGAGGCTGCTGCTGGGGGGGCCCAAAGAAACCCTGGCTGCCTTTTTCCTCCCCCTTCCCGTCTGTAATGCGGTTGAGGTAGCGATTGGAGAGCAGCTGGGGTTTGCTACGAGGGCCTGTAGGAAATGAGAAGTGCCGGATAACAGAAATGCTCTTTTTCCCACCAAAACACCTGTTTGTCTTTCACGTGTCCGCGTTGCTGTCGCGAAAGCCACGCTGCTGCGGGTGGTGACTGCTGTTTTAGTGCATCCTTGCAGAGAGCCATGCTGGAGAGAGTTGGAGAGCGTCCCGGCTCGCACGCTGCTCCGTCTCCTCGTCCTCGGCTGTTGAGAGGCTCTGTGACAAAGCGCATCGTTCCCCAAATCCTTTCCTGATATTCTTTGTCCACACCCTCAGGACACCCTCTTTGTCCTGCTCAGGGAGTGCTATGGATTGCAAACGGGACAACGATCTGCCCTTGGCTGAAGTCTAGAGCCTGCTGTAGGCTAGCCAGCAAATGCTCTTGAAAAGCATTAAAGATGTCTGAGGTTTTCTAAATTACTCTTAGCTAACAGGCCAAGAGCTGCACAAAATTATACAATTACCAAGTGGTTTGGTAAAATCACACAATTCCTAGCTTCATATTCGGGTTCTTAATTTCTTGGTATTGTAGTTGCTTGTAAACAGCAAATTCTCTCTTCCTTATCTCCGTAACCAAGTATAGCAGTTCTAGCTTGGGCAGGGAGTGTTGGGTTGCTCCTGGTAGGAAAGAAAAAAGCTTAAGAAGTTCCTTTTTCCCTGGCACAAGACTAGGCAGAGAGCTTTTCCTTCGGGCCTAGAAAATCTGAGCTGAACATTTGCTATACCAGCATCTGAACATCCTTCTCTTTAAACCTTCCTCTCGCAGATGCTTTTGATAATGATCTGATGCATACAACCCTGAAAAATATTGTTGAGGGGAAAACTGTTGAGGTACCGACCTATGACTTCGTGACGCATTCTCGGTAGGTTTCAGTTTTGTGCAAAGTCTTGGGCTGTGTATGTGGGTGTCCCCAGCTGGGCCTGGGGACAGACCACCGGACTGCGGTGCGAGACCCATTGAACAACGTGCTCTGGGTGTTTTTTCCTGGCAGGCTGGCGGAGACAACGGTGGTCTATCCCGCTGACGTTGTTCTCTTTGAGGGGATCCTGGTTTTCTACAACCAAGACATTCGGGACATGTTCCACCTCCGGCTCTTTGTTGACACAGATTCTGACGTCCGGCTGTCCCGCAGAGGTACTAATGCTCTGCCGTCATGGGCAGCATCAGCCTGCTCGTGTTCCTTATCCATCCTTGGCCATGTGGTAAATCTCACAGAGTTTATCTTCCCGTCCCAGTTCTGCGAGATATGAAACGCGGGAGAGACCTTGAGCAGATCCTCACCCAGTACACCACGTTTGTCAAGCCTGCCTTTGAGGAGTTCTGCTTACCGGTACCAAATGTTTCACTAATTTGATTTGGGGGGGGGGGGCTTTGGGGAGGAAGAGAAGGAGCAGGGTCGCCTGGGGATTAGCTGCACTGTAGGTGCAGCAGTGGTGGCTTTTGATACTCGTATTTCATGAATCCAACCCTCTCCCCTCCGCCGTATCTATTTAACCATTACAAGCTGCTTGTTTAAGGAACTTAAATGGTTGGTTCTTTCTTCTTGCAAAGCACCGTGGAAATCCCTAGAGGCTGCACACATTTTCTCACTGCTTGCTGCCATGGCTATTTTAGCATAGGTCCCTTTGACTGAAACACTCCCACTCTGCATTTATTCTTGTGGGAAGAAAGAAGAGCTTGGTTTCCAGCAGACTCTCAACAGGGAACGCTGGTGAAAACCCAGGGCAGACCATTACAGCATCTGCTTGCTACACAGTATAATGTGGGGCCAATTTAGGTGCTCATGTAATCAAATTAATTTGCAAAAACCCCTTTGAGAACAAAATTTGGTATGTGGATTAAATAAGATGGAAAAGGCCAGCTCAGGCGCCTCTTGCTCTAGATCAAAGCAATTCTGGGATTGTAAAAGTGGTCATTAGAAATGCTGAATTAGCCAGCCTTTTTATAAGTAGCAGGGGGGAAAAAACCCAGGGGCTCTGTGGTGGCAGAGATCAATAAAATGTCATCAGAGGCAGGAAGGAATTTCACATGCGCGTTGGGTACCTTGGCTCTCGGTAGATATTTAGCAATGGCTTGTGAAATGCTGATTAGAACCAGCTCTTAGCAAACAGACCTCAGGCCCGAAGCAGGTGACCCATTGGAAGGCAGCATACTCTTCAGAAGTGTAAAAGCAAGTACTCCACGCTTGACCTCCTGCTTCTACTTTGCAATTCACTGCAAAGGGACAATCAGAACAATCCCTGACCTTAAATCCAGTGCACGTTAGCCAATATGACTTCTCAATTCGTTTAGGTGTGACCACGACCAAGAGCTTTAACTTGCAGCCCCAGAGCACAGAAACGCCTCTGTCTTTGCCCCCAGCTTTCTGGCGTTTGGTAGCTTCTTCCTAGAATAAAGCTGGCTTTTCCCATTAACAGTCTCCACCACTGTTACTGTTTTGCAGACAAAGAAGTATGCAGATGTGATCATCCCCCGGGGAGTTGACAACATGGGTAAAAGGGAGTTCGGTTCTCTGTCTGATTTCTCTGGGGAGACCACCTTTGGGGCTGGGAAGAGAGCAGGTGGCACACCACTGCCTGGTTTGCATCCTTCTAAGGAAAAGTGTTTTGCTGGAGGGCTGTAGGGGAGGGAGCTGCTCAGAGCCTGAATGGGATGACCAGCTGCTCAGCCTGAGGAGGGCTGGAAAAAGCAACGGGAGATTGGGGATGCAGAGCAGGACACTGGTGTTAAAGCTGGTTCTGCAGTTGCTGGTTTCTGCTGAGGTCTGACCTCGCTGCAGAGGGCAGGCGTAGTTTCATTTAAGGGCTTGTTAAAACTTGAGTTGAACAGGGCTGGATGCTCCACATTTTCTAGATAGCTCAGCCAAGAAAGCCTGCGTGTCCTTTATTTCCCGTTCCTCTGCAGTTGCTATAAACCTTATAGTGCAGCACATTCAAGACATCCTAAACGGAGACATCTGCAAGTGGCAGCGAGGGGCAATGAACGGACACGGTCGGACCTACAAGCGCCCATTCCCTGAACAAACGGAGAGCAGCAGCGTGCTAGCGGCCGGCAAACGCTCCCACCTGGAGTCCAGCAGCCGTCCGCACTGACCTGTCCACATCTGAAGGATTTGCCTCTGGTCCAGGCCAACACTGAAGACAACTTTGGGAAAGGACTTCAACAGAATGGTTGGTGAAGTACCCTTTAAATCATCCTAGCAGTGGAGGGGATACTGGTGTGAAACTTCTCCCAGAGGGGAGAGGAAGGAGTTGGCCTACTGCCCCCTCCCCTCCAAAACCCTTCCCTTTCCTCCCTGCCATGTCTGGAGTTACGATGTTACTTCATGAACTGGTTGAAGGCAGTGCTACTTGCCTTAATTTTCAAAATGAGATCTAATGCTAAAGTCTCCCCTGAAAATTAAGCACTACTAGGTGATTAGCAAGATACCCCATTTCCCTGATGATGATCTTCCTTAGCAGGAAAATTATCTGCCTGGTTTTTTTCAAAAGAAAAAAACAGTCTCTTTATCTAAGACTAGCTCACACCCTGTTAACAAGCAGGTGCAGTCCTTTTCACCTTGTTGGCACCTTGAGTTCTGGCATTGCTGTCCTGCTGGCCAGCCTCCTTTTTAGCCTGTAGTAGCATGTGGGGGCAGAAGGACTGACCTGTAGAGGAATCTCTCCCGAGATGGAGATGAAACAGAGACTGTCTGGGACAAATGGGAACTTGCAGTTCATCAGGGGGACAGGCCCAAGAAGTTGTGTGATTCTGGTTCCTAATTTATTCCTTTCTAAGCTTCCAAACCTTGCTACACTGTATGATTATTTTTTTGTACCCAAATAGTTTCCTTTACCCCAGTTAATGAATGTGTGAGCTCCAACTGGATTGAGTTGCTCATGGAAACAGAAACCTGACCTTGTCAGTATTAGTGTCTTTTAGGGCATTTCTGTACTGCTGGTTGCAAATTCTGCTGGGCAGAATTTGTCCACTTCCAGAGCTGGGTGGTAAGATCAGCAAGGGGGAAAGCTGTGAATTGCAAGACCCTCCTTCTGGTGGTACAAACAGCTCTGGACATGCTTCTACCCTCAGACAGGGTCAAAGCGCTTGCCTTGCGCTCGGGCGGTTTAAACTCAAGAATGTCTGGTTTTCTAAAGAGAGCAGACAAGAGGCTGCAAGTATAAACAGTGACATCCCAGTTTCTGTTGCTAACCCCAGATAAGTGGTACTGCAGCAACATGGAGTTTCTGGAAAAAAGATAATTCTGAAATGAAGTGCTGGTTGGGCCTTTGAAAATGTCCTTGTGGTATCCTTCTTCAGTCTGGACCTGTGGTGCAATTTTAACAAGGGGGGAGGGGGGGAAGTACTATTAAGAGGAACTTTTTCATATTTGCTAGTTTTCTAAAACCAAGGTCTGGCTGTGTTGCTTGTGGGTGTGTTACTTTGGCTAATAAACAAATGAACCAACAGTGAGCAGAAATGACCACTTTATGTAAAAGCTATTATTTGTGCTACTTGCACTACGCCAGCACAAAGGTACGGAAAGGAACACTTCTGGAGATGATCTTATACTCAACAGTTCTTTCTTCCCAGAATTGTTAGCTTTAGTTCTATAATGGCTGAAGCTTTATTGAGGGGGAAAAAAACCCCCGGCAAACCACTTTTTAAAAAAGAAAAATGCAGTCTGCACTGTCATCCCTATAGTCTTTTCAACACTGGAAATCGGTAAAGGTTTGTTAGTAGTGATCACCACAGTTCAGTGGTACATCTCTAATGCTGAGGAGAAAGCAGTTCATTTCCTAACTGCTGCTGGGTGCTGTTTAGCTCAGGGTGACAGACAGAGTATGAGCTACTGCACTGAAGCATTAGCTCTTGGGTCTGATTTAAGTAAGAGCAAAATAGTTGCTAAAACCTACTTTGAATGACTGTGGTGTTTGATCATACCTTCCTCTGGGGGCAGGGGAGCTCAAAGCAGCCTTGAATAGCATTTGTTAGAGCAGTAAGGAATGCTACAGTAAAAAGCACCCTGGCCTGTCTAGGACTGCTGTTCTTGGTCAGCTTTGAGCTGTACTGCAAGATGCTGCTGCAGCCACGTGGAGGAAAAAAAACCAACAAACCAAACGTGGCATAGGTACTATAAACTCTTGCTGAATATCTTTACAGAGCTACTATAAATTCCCCGCTGAGTGATCCCAGTCCTTCACTTGCACCTTCTCTTACCCTCTGAATTCCTCTGCTGGTGCAGGCCAGGGTATGGGCTGTTACCTACAATATTTTTACCCTGAAGCCAAGTGTACAAATTAGAGCAGGTTTCTTTGTCAGCACTGTCAGTTCTACCTTGCTCAGAGCTCCTCTTCCTACAAGATTTGAGGTGTAACCCTGCAGCCTGGTAAATAAAACACTGCCATTGCTAGTAACAGGCCACAGGCTTCATATGAATGTCCCAAGGCCAAAGGATTCTTCTGGCTTTGGCTGACTTCTTGGCCTGCCTGAAGCTTTGTTTTAGCTTGTTTAGCCATAACAGCAATTTTTTAATGTCTATTTGTTTTATTTTTGCTTAGCTTTGTAACAATTATGGTCATGCCAAATGATTATACATAGATAATAGTAACAACTCATTATTCTATGCAGAATGAACTATTTATAAACTTAGCTTAATACTGTAATGTAATGAAAGAGGGATGATAGCAGAGCATTGAAAGTGGGGGCAAATAACACATTGTTGAGGAATATAGTCATGGGAAGATGCTGAAGACCGCAGGGCCAATTACTGGTTGTTAAAGATGTGTAAGCTTTAGAACAAGGAAAACCCAGTTTTTAGGAGTAACAAAGAAAACGGAGAAAAGTATCTGTTATGCTGGAGAGTATCCATTTATAGGAACCTGTAATATGGAATTGCAGACCAAGGTGCTAGGAAACGTAAAATACCCCTGAGTGCAACGTAGTGCTAGAAGGTGGAAACCGTCAACATCACACTCCCAGGAAAGAGGAAGAATCCCTTGCAGCATGCTCTTCCCTGCAAAGGACCTAGGATGCTGTTGACTGAAGTCAGCAATGTTCAGAGCCTGAAGGATAGCGGAAGGGTCAATGTAACAGGGGTAGAAACTGGGAATTGTGCTCATAACAGCTATATTACTGTTGAGACCTTTTCTGTAACAGTATTCTTTTATTTTCTTTTCCTGTAATAATCAGATCTGGACTACTATCAATTATTTGATCAGACTGTTAAGATTTCAATTATACTAACAATAAATTCTTGGCTTTGCATAAAAGGCGTTTCCTTTGGCCTGTAACAAGATTGTAGTTGTCACTGTTTTCGGATAAGGATGTTCCAACTGTCCTTCCAGCGCAAGTCCTTGAGTTCAGTAACAGACAGCGAGGGTTCCCCATAGGTCACAGGGCGAAATGTGCAATAGACAAAGTAGACTGAAGAGAACCAGGCTACGATCAATGCACTGAACATGCTCTTGAGAAGCAGAGATCTGGGATGAGAGAAGGAAAGAGCAGTCAAGTTACATCAGCACTGGCCAAACACTTAATCCAAAAGGAAGACCTACATATGGCCTATTGTCTCTAAAGGCAAATGACAAAGTATGGCCACTGCTGGAAAAATCACTGCAGCCGCCTGCCAAGGTGACAAGCCTGGAAAAAAGAACTGTGTCACTTCTCTTGTCTATCTATCTGTTAAAACCAAATACCTGCAGAGATGATCACTCAGATGCTGTAATACGATGGGAATCAGGAGAATCTGGAATGTGACGGCAGGCAGGTAGTGGTACAGGAAAAGTGTTTTCTCCATCAGGAAGAAGGGCAGGTAATTCACAGCCCAGCCTCCAACACAGATCCCCCCGGCTGATACCCAGAGCTGCCATGCATCTGCAGGAGACAGGAGATACCTCAAAGCACAGTCCCTGGAAACCTAAAGTCTCTAGAAGGTTGCCTACTGTCACGGTTTGTTTTTTCCCCACTCTCTGCAGTTTGTGCTAATACAACCTTTAACTTAACCACACTCAACTGAGGGAAATGGTTACATTTTGTCAGGCTTTTATGAAGTATCCATCAAGACAGATTACTGCCAATATGAAGCAGCTTCACAGCGTGACAACAAAATGTACTGCCAGAAAGGTCAGCACAAAACTGCCTGGCCACATGGAGGAGACAGTACCTTGCTTAGAACGAACACATCTAAAATAAACCCCTCCCCACACAGCCAGTATCTACCTCCTTTAAATCATCACAAAAAGGCTCAGTAAAATCCAAATCTGGGGCCTGGACATTTCTTACATCCAAATATATACTATGCTGGCTACTATACTATCTCATGAGGTGGTGGTCATATTGCGATAACCATAATCAGGCTCTTCATGGGCTACTCTGAATGTTTGTGTGTCCCTAATAAAAATTTCAGGGTTGGGGGCAGGAAAAAATGCTAGCATAGTCAAACACATAGTTGCAAAATCGTGGCTTTGGGGCCATTAAAGTGTAGCTGGACAAGCGACCCTCCCTCCACCCCACCCTTGACACACACATACACAATGAATCAGACCTTCAGGCATGTCGTAAATCTTTCTCCTTCGGCGGATCAAGTACCACAGGGACAGACACGTGTAGACCAGAGCAGCAATGTTAGCTGAAGCCCAGGTGACAACATTCCCAAGGAGGTGGATCTGGGCCTGAAGGATAGAAGATGGTCTGAGCCAGAAGCAGGAACATGCTGCAGTTCTTTTAGGTAAGTTTAAGTATTACCTATGCATACTTACTAAATTAAAAGAAGTCAGAATGTGCCTGGCTAGTAACCTGATCTTTCCTGGAACAAAGCTAGTTGATAAACTTTGCTGCTTTAAGACTCTTTTGTAATGTAAGGCATTTAAAAGATGCTATTGGACATTAACTCATCTTCTAAATGGAATCAATAATGGAAACTATTCAACTGCAGTTTTCCTTTACAAAAAAAAAAAAAAGCAAGAAGACATTTAATTAAAAGCAACTACTGTCAAAGCTGTATCACATGCCAAAAAAAAACCCCAACCCTCAGGGAAAATAATATTCTTAATACAGGAAGAGTCCATCCTGAAGCAGCTCCTTGGCTGGAACTGCAGCTCTGCTCTCACTCACACCTGAACTCAAGTCTGCTTTCTTCACCAGGTTCATGTTTACTTCTACCTCTCGTACTTACACCAGAGGTTGGGTGGAGCCAGTAGGCAATATTTGTGTCCATTGTGATCCAGTCAAGAGCAGAGGAGCTGTACTTATGTTCTGTGTCTTCATTTTTTAATGTGAGTATTTTCCACTACGATAAAAGTAAACAGAAAGCTTTCAGAATTGGAACGATGAGTGGGATAGCAGGCGTGGGTGAACAGCTCCAGATGTAAGATGTTAAGTTCTTAACCTGGGAGTGGAGAAAGATTTTGCACATCTCCTACGGGATACTGATCAATACAATGATTTTATTGTGTTCTTATATAATGCACTTACTTTCCTTAGTGGATTTCTACAATGTTAGTAAGCGGCATCAACACTACTGACTGCATATACAACACATTACAGTTCAGTTTCAGACAGCTTCTGGGTGCCCAACTGATCTTCCTTCCCCTTCTTTTTTTACACAATCACTTCGGTATTCGTTGCTGAACAGTATAGGTCTCTAATGCCCTTCTAAGTGCATTCAGAAATATTTTTTTTCAGTGAGGAAGCCAAACTACTCTACCAGCAAGGAATAAACAATGAATCCTCAGGCTCACAGTTTGGAGAAATGCTCAGGTTCCTGCTCTGCAGCAGAAGGAAAGATGAAGGGAACACCGAGACACTCACCTGCAATTCTGTGAACTTTGCCATGAAGCTGAGGTTTTTACTTATGTCTATCTGTGTGGGAGAGTGGAGTTCCACTTCCCTCTCTTTTTGCTCTTGGCCTGGAAGAAAACAGCATAGCTCAGAAATAACCACATAACAGATAGAAAGCTAGAAAGGGGAGAGAGCACATATGATACAGCCCTGGCTCCTCACACTCCCGGGAGCCCGTCTCCAATATATAGTCCAACTGCAAGCGCATTCTAAGGGGATTTGTAAGGACTCTGACATTGTGATAGAGCCAGAGCCTGCTGAACACACATACACGCAACACCACCTTCCCATCAACATGAAGCCTCCCCCAGTCACAGAAATCTGCTTTGAGAATATGGCTGAAACGTACTTTTCCCATATCTGTGCTCTTCCACATTCCACACCATGCTCTGGTGGTAGCCTTTGGACAGCTTCTCTCCAACCACCTCCAGCTGCCGGTATCCCCACTCAGGTAAAGATGCTCCACTGAGCTGAAAGTGAAAGATGACTGTAAACTTACAGTCCTGCCAATCTGAATTTCAGGATGGAAGTTCCTAGGCCCTGCCTGAGCAGTGGATGACAGCAAGGGACTATTAGAAAGTATGTGAAGAGTCACCATGCAATAGTGTCTCAACAAATGCTACAGCCATAAAGCCTGTGATTCTGGCAAACTCTGTGAAGAGATCCTTAACTATTCCAGCCGCTGTCACATACTACACACAGATTCAGCATCAATTTCTGAGGCTGTATCTAAACCCCAGTTGTGTACAGTGGTCACAACCTCCTGAGAAGCAGGACAGCTGTGCATGCTGAAAAGGAATGAAGCACGAGTATGACTACCCGAAACACATGCTGCTCTTTTATCACATTGAGCAAGTTTATTGTTTCATTTTATTTACCAATTTGGTTGTTTTAGTGGTTTAGGTATTTTGGAGCAGAGAGATTAGTAGTTTATGAGATTACAAGAACTGCATAAAGAAAAAGCTATAGGCAAATAAACATAAATCCACTTGCCTTTAGCACTGCAGAGGTGTTCACATGAACAAACCTCACTTCTGACAGAATTGTCTTCCACACGTCTGTGTCAGACTCCCGATTTACAATTTCCTACAAGAGAAAGATGTCTTTTGATCGTCATGTTGTCTCAGCTGTTTCTGCTGGAACATGATGAGCTCCTCCCTTCCTTTTGACCACTCACCACTCTCCAGAGGTTCTGTGCTGGCATGGAGATGTTATAATCAATATAGCAGGAAACTTCTTGGGAGTGGGGACTAAGAGGGGCGGCAACATCATGCCTAGAAGACAAGTAAAGTAAGATCCTCCAACACCATTTCCCAAATTAGTATAAAAAGCAAACCCATAAAGGTATTGAACTGTCTTACACCAGATTCAGTAATAAAGCAAAAAGTAACTCATTTATACAGATTGCACTGTTTACTCTGAAAGAGAACACTCCCCACTACCAAGAGCTGCCAGGAACAGGCTCAGAGGAAGCCAATACAGATGCCTGCTATGCCAGGCTGAAGAACAAGCACTGATTGTGACAAACAGAGATGCTGTTCACTGGGGTTCCCAATAATGAACAAATTAGGTTTGGAAGGCACATAGCAAAAAACCAAGCTCAGAACAACCCCCTTCCTAATCTGAGTGATATTCAAGTACATGCAGACACCCTTTGGGAAGCAGTCAGGAGGCAATTTCATACTGCAGTCTTTGCAAAACAGGCAAGAATCTGTGGCAATCAGCCACAGCACACCGGATTCTCCACCACAACTTCCTAACTTCCAGAGCACATCCTTCACACAGGAGTATGCTGTCAAAGTCAGTGGAGTTGACCTTGGGTTAACAGTCACACAAAATACTAAGTATCTGCATCTGCCTGGAGCAGAGGCAGTGAAGGGGCAAGGATGAAGACTCACCAAGGGGACTATATATTTAGGAATCTACAGAACTACCATGAAATGTGAACATGGGTGAAACCACCACTAGCCCCTCTAAAGGCCGCTAGTAGAGAAGACCAGAAACAGCTAGCAGCCACTGAACAGTTTGTGATTAGTATCAAATCCCACTGCCAAGTCAACTGCAGAAAAAAAAATAAGCATACAGCACCCTTTCTCTGGGCCACGGGGATGGCTTATGTAACAAACCACATGAGGTCCCTCCTAGCCCCACTGTTTTAAGAATCCATGAGTAACAGGCAGCTTATGGCATATCTGAATGCAAGGGTCACTGCGCTTCAACCCCAGAATAGTTATTCTGAGAGACAACAAAGCAGAATGAGCCAGCAGGCTTGGCAGAGCAGAGGATGAGGAAAGGACTTACGTGTTGAGGTACCGAGTCGTGATGCCATGGACCAGCTGCACGATGTGTCCGTGCCTGACAGGACGAGGTGGGTTACTCACCACCAGCTGCTGCCTGGCGGAGTGACACCCAAGAGGAAGTGGTTACATTCTTCTTTATATGTAATGCAACCTTGTCATGACCAAACTGCTAGGTCAAGAAGCTGCAGGCAGGGACAGACATTTCGCCAGTAAGATGAGAAATTAAAGCAATCTATAGATTGTACCAGAATGGAAACAAAGCTCACCAAGGCAAAGGTGAGTTAAGGGCAGAATGACTCAGAGGATTGGTAATGGGATACCGACACCCCAGCAGTGAGGTCAGTGGTCTGAATCCAGGTCAGTCAGGAGCGAGTTCAGATTATTCCCACCACACAGCTGTTTGGTGGCTTCTGTGAAATGAGTAAGTGCTTCAGTGATGTCTGACAGGTGTTCGTGTTACAACTGATGTCACTTTTGGCAGAATTATAAGAGAGATCAATGGCTACCTCCACCATGAAGACCAAACTCTCGTCTTGCTTCTAGACAGGGCGAAGGCGTGCTTTGGCAAGGGGGAACACTGCAGTTCGCCTGACTGCTGCCTGTACTTTCCTGTTCTACAGAAGGACTTCACATCCCCCAGGGCTCATAGGAGTCTTGGGTTTGAAGAATTTTAAGAAGATGCTGGGTTTCTGTGGTTCTGGTAGAGCCCCTGCTTGACAGGTTTGCACTATGGACAAACTTTCCCAATGTGGATATAACTTACAATGGCACACAGTCCCTCTGGTAGGACTCTCTATACAGTTCCCAGAGCAACATAAGAAACCTACAAAAGCAACTTTTTGATCAGTATGAAACGGTATTACACAAGGGCTTTTACTGGCAAAACTACAAGAACAAAGAGTCCTGCTCTCCACTGACAGTTACAATGGCAAAACACTTCAGCACAAACCAGGCCTCTCAGGCACAGGCACCCACTTGGAATTCCTCCCAGTGTGGCAGATTCTACAGTTCATCCCACACTTTAAATACAAAGAAATACTCACTCTGCAAAAGTGATTTCTACTCTCTTCTGAGACTCATTCAAGTTTGAAAAACTCATCAAGGCACTCTAATGCCATGGCTCACACACTTCAAAAAGCAAAACTTCCCTTTCATGCAAAGCACCTGAAAAGTTCCCACCAGTCTCATGAGTCTTTAAAGTTCCCCTTGTGCACAGCACAGCCCACGTTCTGGCAGGAGCAGTTCAGAGAGAATTTCAGAGTCTTCAATAATGCTTTTACCATATTGAGGAGGACTGTGCAAAGAGCCATCCTTATCAACTCTGCAGCTGAAATTACTTGCTCAGGATCACACATGGCCTCTACGCCCATAAGCAGAGAATAGTTATATCCAATCCAAGCTATGCCCTGGTTAGGTTTTGGAAGCATATAGAAGCTATGCTTACAGCAGCTTGGCATTTAAGTGTCCTGCATACTCACATTCCTGGATCTTTGACAATCCACCAGTTGTTCACATCCTTGAAGGGATAGCAGGTCACCTGCTGTTGATGGGAACTACCTCGTCCATTCTCATACCTGTACAGAGGGTTAAAAAACCCCACAGATGTGTAACAGTACATTTCTGTGCTCAACAGAGTCACAGCAATACAAACCAGCACCAGATCACTGGCTCCATTCCTACAGAGCACAGAGAATCTGTACATCTGCAGTGTGCTCTGAAGGATTAATGAAGAGATTGCCAGGACCCAAACTGAGCTACTTGGACTGGCAGGTGAAGAACCAGAGCATACTTTTATCCTAACAATACAGACCCAACCAGACTCCTCACCTGATGGGGTAAGTATTCGTGTGAGAATGGAGCCAACACTGCATGGGCTTGCCCAACACGTTCCGCAGAGTAATCTGAGAGCCGTAGGCCACCTCTAAGGGCTGACCCTGAGTGATTCGAGCCAGCCCACCCTGAGAAGCATAATGACAGGATAAGTGGAAAGAAGAAGAAACAACCCAGAGGCTGTTTAAATTCTATTAAGAGTCACCTGTCACTTTAACATAGCAGTATCTTAGCACAATGCTGTCTCATTTGGTTCTATCTACAAAAATCAAGTCTGGCAGCACCATACTCAGCAGATGTAAATACACCAGCATCTGAAAGACTACAGGGTCTTAGGGAATATCCCTAAAGCCATGCTGCTCTAAAAGACAGACTAAGCACTCTTCTACAGAAAATCACACTGTCATCCTGTAGTCTACAACATCATCACTTAAGAGGTCAGTCTGTGTCTACTTATGCAGAGTTTCCTGTAAGAAGGGACAAATCTTCAGCAGAAGAGTGAACACATTGTTCTTGGTTCACTGGGAAAAGCTTTTCATCTGTCATTAGGACTTCAGTCATTATTGCTTCTTCTTAAAACAGTACTACAGCAGCAAAGCAGTTAAATGACATAAAAGGAACAAATATGCAGGATCAAAGGAACAAGACTGCACACCTTTCTTCTAACAGTGAACACAAGACAGATTTCCCCCTCTTCTCCCCTAATAAACTAGTTTCATGACCACATTTCCTTTACCTCTAAGCTGGCTTGGAAAGCACTTGTCATAATCTGGTCATGAGGCCCAGAGCGATACAGCAAAGTCAAGTGAACATAGAAGAAGGACAGGTACATTGCCACTGGGATGACGATGAGGGCCAGTCCCCTAGCTAGAAAATGGCACATCAAGGAAACCTAGAAGAACACAGAGAACTCACTGGTTTCATGCTCCAGACATTAAAAATATTAAAAATACTAAAATACCAGTGCACTTGGCTTGTTTTGTTTCTTAAGTTTCCCCAACCACCCTCTTTCAGCTATAACTTCATGGACAGCTGGGTAACTTCCACTGAGGATGTGAACTGCAGCTAGCAGGAGGTATGTGAAGCAATATTCGTTTTGAGCGGCAAATTACCAAGACATGGATAAGAGCAGAAAAGCCAGTCACACACCCAGCAACTGAGCTGGGAAACTGTTCTATGACAGGAGGGTTTGCAGACTATGGCAAGGAATTTTAGTACAAAACCCAGCTACAGACAGCACTGTTATCTGTGGGCTTGCAAGGCTCCTGACTGGCTCCTGTACTGAAAAGTTACACGTAATACATTTTGTGTGTTGTGCTACCTACATTTGACAAGTTTTGGTCACCTATCATGTGCCAGAAGTGGAGTCCTGCGATGGCCAAGAGCAGCATAAAGGTAAACAGGCCCATGTATTTCACTCTGAGAAAAAAGTGCATAAAAAATGAACACGGTTAAAAACTACACAACTACCTAATACAAGACATAAACATTCAAACTTTCTCTTGAACAGCATGCATTAACGTCCAACGACTTAAATCCATGACAAGTTTGGTACAACCACATATATAAACCTCAAGGCTTTGACACCAGAAGGTATCATTTGTTTGCCAATTACATTAAATAACTGCAGTGACAGAGAACCTTCTTGATAACAGGTTGGCAGATCACAAAGCACGGAGTCCCTAAATTCAGACTTACTGAAGCTTGAGGCAACTAGAAAGGAGGGGTGAAATGCAGATGCTAATTTATAACATAAAGCCATCTCTTAGAAATACATTTTCTTCCTCCCAGGACAGTATCCGCTAATGCCTGGTATTGCCCACTGTGAATTGACATCTTCTCTATAGAAACAATCTAACTCATTAAAAAGTCATGGACATGTCTGCTCAGAACAGCACCAACAATCAGTCTTGAAAATCCAAAGCCTCACTGATAGCTCAGATGGCAGGCAGGAAAGTGAGCTTACTAAACCAGAGTAAGACGTCATCACTTACCCAACTGCACAAGAACAAGCTACTCCAGTCAACAGAAGCCAAAACCACCAGCTTCCAGAGAAGGAACTTAAATAAAAGGACAAAGGAAAGGATGTTATGGTGAGATCTGGGCACCTTCTTAGGATCCTGAATGTAGGTAATTTAACTTCAAAAAAACTTGCAGGACTCCACTATTCCTTACCCCATTCAGAGGTACCTCATTCTGAACCTCCCATGCCACCAACTCTCAGCCCTGACCTACAGGGTGTTGTTAAACGTACTTCTCTGTATCCTGAAAAGCAAAACTGAACGCTACCTGCCTCCTGATACCACAGATAAAAGCAATGTATTAAATCATTTGCTGGGCTCAGTTTAAAGATAATTTTACTTTACGAAAGATTACTTTATCCTCTGCAAGGATCAGAGAACATGTGAAGTCACAAGAAAAGAGAAAAGAGCCAAAGATCTCCAAATTCAGTGCCTGTAAACAGTAACAAAGGAGCATTAAGTGACCTGTTGTCATCAGTGTTTCTCTGCACAGAAGGAAACCTTCCAATAAAAAATCTGGGTTGGCAAAGGAGTGCTCCCAAGGGATTTTATTTTTATTGTAAAATAAAAAGACAACCTTGCTACCAGTTAAAACAGTCTTTAACACCTCTCAGAAAAGAAAACTTCTGGGGCAGGCATAGGAGAGGTCAAAGCACTGGATTTTACAGACAGATGAAGTGAGCTGCAGAACAGTGAAGTGACTTACAGAAAAAAAACACATAGCCTGTGACAAAAAAAGAGTCACCACAAGAATATCCAAAAGGATGGGAGACAATCCAGCTTTACCTGTGCCTTTGCAAATTGTAGAACTTCAGGTAGGACAAAACTGCAAGTAGGATGAAAAAAATCAATACTGATTCCAGGAGCATGAACCTTGACTGAGTGATCAAAGAGTTCTCTGTTGGAAAAGAGAGAGACACAAAATTAGAGAACCTTATCTATAGGCAAGTGCTACCTCAGACAATCGCATCATTATCCAACAGAAGGACCTGCCCATTTAAAGACAGCCAGTTCACTTGCAATCTTACTGGCTGTAATAGGGAGGTGTTGGGTTTAAAGGGACAAAAACCTTCCAGCAGGAGCAAAGTACATGGCCGTAACTGTCTCCAAGGACAAAGAGGTGGGCAAGTAGTAAAGTCTGGCAGGAGGCAGATAAAGGTGCTGTGCCTGCCTACAAAGGCAATGAAAATCACTGCTGGGAAATGCAGGAAGGTGGTTCTCAAGGCAAACAGTGAAGGCAGTGACCCCAGCAGGCAATGAGCATGATGACAAATCTTCAAGAAAGGGAGCTGCAATGAGCTGCTTTGTGCAGGGTTCCCTGAGCCAGAATCAGAGCAGCCGGTAGCTAGGACAGGTTTCTCTTATCAGACTGCTGAAGGGCTGTTGAGAGGCTCTTTCCGTTTCAGGCAGCTGCCAGCAGACCCTCAGAGAAAAAAAACAACTGAGTTATACACACCAGAACAGTGTCAAATCATGGTGCTAAGGACGCAGACTGGTTTGCTGCAGTTTGGAGATGAAGAAATTCGATGAGCTCTGACTGTAAGTAGGGTCGTCCTGCTGTTGAAAACCAGTATGTTGTAACTCACCCTATAAACCTCTGACGAACAGAGTACAGGCCTCCTTGGATGCAAGAAACATGGTTTTCTGTGAGGCTGTTGAGGCTGTCCACTTTGCTTAACAATGAAATGAACAAGTACAAAGCCTCAACCTAGAATGGCAGCCTGCTGCAGAACGTGAGGATAGAGGGGATCGCAGAGGCTCAGCAGAGACTGATACAGGCCAGGGCTGAAAGTGGGCTCCGACATGTTGTTTGAGTTCTGTGGCGAGATGCTACTCCAGCCTTTTATGCAGCCTAAAAATTCACAAGGGGGAAAGGGACCCTTCTCCCCCTTTATGAAGAAGGGGGCCCAAGGGAATAATCTTACCTAAGAGAACCAGAAGAGCAGCTCCAAGTGCAGCACAGTGGGAGAACTGCAGTTCTACCAAAATCTGGTATGCTAAAGGCACACAGAGAGCACCAGCCAGTGCTGGCAGCAGTCGCAAGGACCAAACAGGAACATTCATGCTATATTCTGAAATAGGAGACAACAGTGATGCACAAATTTGGAAACTATTAATTGCAGAGAAGATGGATCAATACAAAATTCCTTATGACTACAGCAAGTTGTTAAATCTAACTCCTACTCTTACTAATTTATTGTCCATCTTGTACTGCTTAAAATGGTCTAACTGATTTAAAAAATCTGTGCTATGGAATCACAGTGCCTTAAACTTCTGTTAGAGACCTGCAGAAGACTTTACTTAAGAGGCAAAGTGAAGGTGTCAGATAAAGCGTTATTTCCACTAGTCAGGCAAAAGAAATCTGTCAGCCACCGAAATACTGCTTGTTTTCTCAAAAGACTGAGACTGTTAAAATCAGCTCTTACCAGCTCCAATCCTGTTCCATAAGAAGTTTCCATCAAATCCTCCTAAGTAACCTACAACATAACATAAGCAACAATTCAAAATTTCCAGTCTCAAAACAAGCATAAAAACTGGTGCTAAATTGGTCCTGGAACCATTTCCCAAGCACATAGCTTTTCCATGCATGAAAGCCCTCTTTCCCAAAAGGGTCCTCTTTCGTACTGTTTTGCCTGCAGCAGTGCTTGATAATGTGCAGAGGCACAAAGAATATAAATTGGCAACAACAGATTCTCAGTGACAAAGTTACACGTATATTTAATCTCTCCTTCCCATACAGACACTTTTATGTTGTGTATATCTCAGCTACAGAAAGACACCCAGGCCTGAAAGCCTCCTTGTTGCCTACTATTTCTAGTCACTAGCAGTTCTAATCTTACCTTTCTCTTTATCCAAAGGATTGGATAACAATGAGGTAATGGATACATGGCTCCATCACCTCCCCAGTACTCATGCAACAGCCCCCTAACAATACTAAATAAGAAATCCTAATTCTCTCTACATCAGACTCTCTCAGCTGCCTTGTGTTCTTCCCCAGAGACAGGATCTGACAACTCGTTTCTAACCAGCACTTTGCTCTTCCACAGCAACAGGCAATAGACACTTCCCAATTTCAGGAGATGGCCTACCTCCCAAAGCTAGCAGCATATGGCCAAAAGGTGGGCCGCTGTCATCCACGAAGAAGATCCTCTTCATGTAGAGTGAGACGAATTGGCCATAATAAACTTCATCAAAACTGAAACACAAGAGGCAGAAATATGTCAAATCTAACTGCAGGCTACAGGGATACTAAGAAAGAAAACACTGATTTGTTGGCAGAAAGCTAAGAATACAGTGAAGCACAGTGGCTTTGCCCCTTTACCTTCCTCTCAGGAGTTTCTATTAGGGTAACACCATGACCATATTTACAGAGGCTGACATCAGGCAAGCTGTGCCCTTCCGCTCCTGCATTCTTACTCACAAATGTTTAAAAAAAAAAAGTCTGCGTCATTCAAGTAGAAAATAAACTATTCTACTCACACTACAGCCCGTGGATAGGAAAGCCCCCAAAGACGGCTTATTAATCCCATCACAGTCAATGCCACGAGGTTCATATTTATCTCTGCAGTAACCACAACCGGCTTCTTCAGAAATCCCAACATCCTGTCAAAGGTCTGTCCAAACCTCCGAGAGAAACAGAGGAGAGCAGCAGTCACCCTTTCGCTCACAGCTAGCTAAAGATCATTTGACCGAAAGCATGCACCACTACTTTCTGCTACTAGCAGCTCATGGTAATTGATCTTCCAAAGTTCTCCTGCCTTCCACATTTATGTGTTTTCTGCTGTATCTACTGGAGTAACTGTAAAAATGAAGTTACTAAGCTAACACAGTTAACTTTTCATCTGCCCTGCTTCTACATGAGTATGGTTCTCTGTCATCAATAGTAAGCTAGAAACTTTGCTTACTCTTACACTAGTTCTGGAGAAACACAATAGCTTAATTCAAGCCTATATTCCGCTTTGTGCTAAGCAAACCTCCCAGCCCAAATTCCAATGCTAGTGATAGGCAAACCACATGCTCAGGCACCAGGCTACTCAGATAGCTTTAAGAAAAAAAAAAAAAAGTTACTTCCTCGCAAACTGAGCACATTTCTTGGCAGGGGCAGAGGGCAGAACCCACAAACATCCTCTATCTTAAAAAGCTGGCTATTAGAGCACAGGTGTAGGTAGGTGCTGTAGGGCTCTAGCACAGCCTAGGGGGGAGCGCTGCAGAAAGCAGGACTGAACTCTACTGTAGGCAGAACTGCTAAAAGCTAGGTCAGAAAATAGCAGGGAATCAGTGTTGTATCTCCTCACCTCAATACAGCTGAAAGTTACCGGAATAAATCCATCTGCATGGCTTTGATCAGGGGAGAACAAAGCAAGATGTGAGCACATCACCACCATCAAGTGCGGTGCCACCCTCCTTGTTTCTCACTACCTACAAAACACAAGCGCTGCGTTTAACAGGCTTTTTAAGGAGCCCCTTGCAAAGCTGTGCTCTCCACCGGCACTGGGGACACCACACCACTGCCCCACCTGCAGGACCCAGGACAAGGGCAGGCCATCACATTGCCTTGCAGGCCCTGCAACCCCAAAGAGCACCCTGATGGAGGGGATCCTGCTTCTCCCTGAGGTACAGGCAGGCCTTAAACCCTGGGGCAGGAGTGCAGCACTACCTCCCCCGCCAGACCTCATACACCTCCTCAGGGAACCATTAAGCCCTCTACCAGGCTTTGCATCCCCTTCCGTGAGCCTTATGAGAGGGTGGTCGGACCACTAACCCCCCCCCCAGGCCCTGTTCCCCCCTTTGAGCTCTCTGGGGGGGCAGCAGGACCACTGACCCCACACCCAGGCCTCTCACCCTTGAGGCTTGTGGGGTCTACAGGACCCACCAGCCACCCTGTACCCCCCCCCCTTCAGGATTTTTGGGGGCAGCACGGGACCACTAACCTGCCGCCAGGCCTCCCCCCCTCCCCTCGAGGCTTATGGCAGCAGTAGGCCCACCAGCCACCCCCCCCACCAGGCCTCGCAACCCCCTCCCCGCACCTTGAGCCTCGGGGCGGGGGGGGCAGCCCCACTAACCCCGCCATCAGGCCTCGCTCCACCCCCCGTGAGCCTTACGGAGGTGAGGGGGGCCGCAGGACGACCACCAGTCCCCCCCGTGCCCCGGGGGAGGCGGCGGGACCAGGACCCCCCGGCCCTGAGGAGATGGCAGTCCCCCCGCTCACCGGAGGGGGGGGGGCGTGGCGGGACCACCCCGCGCTCCACCCCCTGCCTCGCGGCGCCGGATGTGGCGTCAGACGCACGCAGCGCCGTGAGGAAGGGGAAAGGGAAGAGCCCCGTCGTGTTGCCACGGCAACGGCGGCGTGTGGCGACCGGTCCGCGGCCCGCCCCGCCATGGCGGCCGTCAGAGCCCCATCCTCATCGCCAGACACTCCTCCACCCGGCTCCGGGCCAGGACCCCAGCGCCACCCTCGGCCTGCCAGCTACCGCGGCCGAGGGGGCAGGAGCACCCCAGATGCTGTGTCCCCGCCGTAGCATGGTCACCCACATCGGCGCCGTGGCCACCGTCATGCGAGAAAAAAAAGTAAAATAGATACACAGGTCTTTAACGAAAAGAACCAGACAAGGGACTTGGGAATTTGAGAAAAGCATAATCTGCTTTATTTTTTTTTTTTTATTTAAATAAGGAGAATTCTTTCATATGGAAAGAGCTAATACAATCACATATTTGAAAGGAGAAACAATAGGTACTGAAACAAGGAAAAAGGGCAATAAAGAGTGTGCTGCAACTGGCCTGGTGATTCCGTGATTCGAGTTCCGGTCCAAGTAAAAGTTTCCAAAAAATATAAACAGGTTGCATGTTACACAATTATCCATCGTCTGCCCTTTCAAATATCTGGTCTACATGAAAAGACAAAGAGAGGAAAGGCCAAAAAAAATTTACTATACAGGTCATGAGGTTAAAAGCTTTAAGGAGTACAATATCCCCTTGAGAAACAACAAATGCAATTTATACAGAACCAGAGGAAGGATTCCAGCTAAGGACAACGCCTTGAGACATGCTAAAGGGTGAGCGCCTCTCTGCTGCTGCTGTGATTCCCAGGGGAACGGTCAAGGTTGTGGCTGTAGACATCTTGAGGAGTGGGGAAGAGCCATTAAACCCAAGGGGGGTGTCTATGGCCACTAGGAAAATCTGGTGGTCTTTGGATTGAAACAAACAAACCAACCAAAACAAAACAAAACCAAAACCAAACAAACAAAAAAAGGAGTTGGACTGCTGCTGCCTCTTCACAGTCAGCAGTTCCACTGCTCCGGCAAAATGCACCTTTTCTGTCGATGGGCCACAACTAAGTATCCTGATGCCTATTGTAGATTAATTCTTATTCACAAATGCATCTTTCTTACAAGGAAACTGGGCTGCTGTACCTCAGAAATAACCCATGCTACAAGGAATTAACCTGTGCTTAACCAGCCAGAAGCAAAACAGAAGGTTAACAAAATGCAACAGAACAAGATCTTGGCATGCAGTGGTGCTTGCTTGAAAGTGAATATAGTAGCCTGCCAAAAGGTGAGACGTAGCAAAAATGCTAGGCTCATTTCTTAATATATATATATCCATAAATACACAGGAACCACAGGGCAGCTTGTAGCTTTGCAGCATTCTTGCAAGGAAACTGTTAAATGGAGTGCCTCTGCATGAACACAAACACGTATGGGAGTTCAATGGGCTGCAAACACATTCAGAGTTACTGACGACTGTACAGCTGTCACATGGCATAGCCAGGAGTGAATTATGGAAGATCAACAATAATACCTGTTGCACTGGTGACTGTGCTGCTTCCACTTGTCATTGAAAAATATACTGGCACACTTTTTTTTTTCTTCCTTTTTTTCCTCCTTAATTTCAATTTATTTAATTTTTTTTTTCTTTTTTTTTTTTAAATTAAGAGCTAAAAGCAAGCTGAACTGGAGAGGAAAGCAGCACTGAATGCAGCTGGTAGGCCATGAATCACTGCATCTAAGAGAACTAATTACTACACAAAGTGCTTCAGACCTTCAGCTGAACAAAAAGCAGCAAAGTCAGCCTCTGAATATTTCTGCTTCACCCATTGTTGCTGAAAACATGGATTCCACCTCTCCCTCCCACTGCACCTTTCCAAGCAGAAGGAGCCTGCAATTTGGTAGCTGATTTCCAGTCAAAGCAAAAGCAACTCACAAAGGAATAAATCATTAGGGCCTGAACCTTCAGCAGTGGAGACGGCAAGCAGAAGTATTCCCCTATAAACCATATCCATGTTCTATACATCTCCATTCTCCTCTTCCCCAAGCTGAATTTGTATCAGCGTACCAGCACCCTTGGCATTTCTGCACCTTGAGGATCAGAGGCTTTCCTTTTGACTCAAGAGCACCATAAACTGCACTAACCTTGTACTAGCTTTAAACAAACAAACAAAAATATATGCGAAAGAAGGATATTGCACTGTAGAAATTTGGGCTCTAAAACTGCTTTCCATCACACAAAACTCCATTAAGTGAAAGAGAGTCTTGCCAACTGCAGCTGACAGTCACGCAAAGGTGAGGAATGGAATGAAGCTTACATGCATTTCTTGGCCTTTCCTGCACAGAATAATTCAGACATAATATATAAATAGAGCAGTGAAACAATTACTTTTTCACCTAGACCTACAACATCAAATACGTATAAATAAATTCTAGTGTTTTATTCTGTTGGGGGAAGGAATGGAGAGGTTAAAAGAGAAAGAAGGGTGACCTTTTTCAACAGGAAGTATTGTAGTTCTGATGGCATTTACACCAGAGGGACTGCAATAACTTGTATCTAGCAATAACCCAGTTTCTCCAACACATTTGACCATTTTAAAGTCATATAGGCGGGAGGAAAGAGGTTAGTGTCTTTGTAAAGCTTAAGTAGTGTGTCTAGGGTAGGAAAGAGATGAGAAGAGGGGGGCTCGGATAAGTCTCTTTAGCCATTACAGTTAGATTCTGGGCTGGTATTAGCTAGGGCCAGCTGGGCAGAAGGATAATAAAGAAAAAACCAGACAATTCTGTTGTTCATGATATTCCAAGGAAGAAAATAGAAGGGGGGGGTGGGATGACTTACTGGTGGAGCAATCTTTGGAAAATGTTGGGAGCAGGACTAGCAGATGACGATGCAGGTCTGGGAGATGTCTGAAGGCTGCGGAAGTATGTGTCGCTAAATCTCAAACCCTGTACTTTAAGGAGGACACTAGAGAGATGCTGGCACACTCTGCTCTGAAGTTAGAAATCCATAAAACATGAGAAAAAAAGAGGGGGGGTTTGCCTTTTTTTTTTTTTTTTTTTTTTTTTTTAAAGTACCATCCTATCCCTTTCCCTTCGGCTTCTCTGCCATGGTCAATGGGGACACCTGTGGACAGGGGACATCACTATGTCTAAGTTAGTTTAGGTTTCTAAACTCTTTAAAGCTACTGTATAAAATTCTTATTTATACCTAGCTTAAAACTTCAAATGCATCCCTAAAAAGTTATGAAGGATCTTTCCTAGAAAGGGGGGGGAACAACAAACAAAGAAACAAGAACACCTTTCAGATCCCTTCCCAAATACATTCTTTGTTCAAAATTATCTTCTTTGGAACCACCAACAAATGACTTGCTGCCACCTAGCAGAGGCAGATGGCACGGCCAGTTAGCAAGCTATCATCTACTGCAGAAATGAAGTTTTCTTTCCCCCACTTCAGAGTGACCAGCCTACTTTACATTTTGAAAGAGCTAAACAACACAAACCAAGTTAGCTGAAAGTAGCTGAGTTTACTTAAGACTACCGTCAGCTGAAGGACTCCAAGCACTTTCAGAACTTGTAAGTCCATCCTAAAAATCTACATACACACGCACACACACACACACACGCACACACATAAACCAAAACCAAACCACCAAAGAAATAAAACCCAACCCCCTCCCACTGGGACCTTCCTTTCATAGATCATCAAATACTGGTGAGTAATTGTGAGGTGACAATACTGCGTACACACGATATGCAACTGCATCAAAAGTAAAGAACCCTTTGCTGTTCATCTGGGGAAGGAGAGTAGAAGGACAATTCCAAACTGCCTCTGTAACCATGCGCTTCCGACACAAAAAAGGAGGTTCCAAGTGCTAAAACGGCGGTCTTGCAGAGGGGGTCCCTTACTGATGCATTTCTATGCAAATTTTACAAAAGGCCATGAGTCAGAGGAACAGAAAGCAAGACTTAGGGAAAAGGGAGAAGAGCAAAGCTTAGGAGAGCAGCCCCAAGGGATGAACACAATATAGAGTAAGTCTCAGGAGACATGAAGAATTAGAGCGGCCAAGGTAGGGAGCATAAGAGAGAGCATCACAACTACAATAAGTAGTCCATACAGACCCGTTGGCTCTAGCCAACTCTTCTGACCCATGTGTGGTGAGGAGAATTTTTCTTAACAGATTTTACATTTCGTAAATCTATGATTTACATTTTGGTGTGTGTTTGGCAGTCACTAAAAAATCCCAAACCCACAAAAACAACCCCTAGATCCAGATGAGTTTGCAAGAGAAATTTGGTGGGGTTTTTTCTTCCTTAAAACAAAAATGCCACATTTTGTTGTGCACAAGGCACCCCAAAGCTACAATTAAAGTGGTGCAAGTTTCAAGATTAATGCACTGATCTACTATATACCTTTAGTATACATTTACTTCTAACGCAAGCACTGCTTCTAGCTTAAAACAAAAATACTGAAAATTTAACAAATGCCGTAACTGTCCTGGTTTTTCAAAACCAAATAATCTGAAAGGCTAAATCATCTGGGTAACATATACCCAAACAAACTCAATTTAGAAGAGCCATGATTCTCAACATAGCACAGAACCATATATAAAACTAAGCATAGTTTTGTCAGAACATAATTTTAGCTGAAGGGAATTCTTTTCTGGAAGGAATAAGGAAAGCAGAAAGAAGGGTGGGAAAAATGAGAGAACATATAAAAGTTCTGCTATAAACAAAGATATAGCTTTTTTTGTAAAAACCTCAGCTGCCTTTAAAATGAAAAACCTCAAACTAACCCCTCTCCCCCAGTTGCCACTCTGCTGAGACAGAAGTAGGGAAGGAGAAGGATGGGCTTTGCCAAGTGAGCAATCACAGCTACCTGTGGATGGGGCATGGGGTGGGGTGGGGGGGGATAAAAAAAAAAAAAAATGGCTCCCGCCCACTTCAAAGTCACATGGTTGGTTGGTTTTAAAGCAAGCAGGTCAATGTCATATGCACTGTTTCAAACTGCTTTGTTGGGAGAGGGGCTTGGATGATGTTGCTGTAGTCAGTCAATGTGGGGCAGGGAGTAGATCTGGTGAGATTTTCAGGAGATCCAGTGGGGTCCAGTCTAAGCTGCGGGGCCTCTCAGGCAGCAGGATCAGCTGGGCATCAGAGGTGTTCCTAGGCCTTGCTTTCCTCCACTTTGACTGCCTGAGGTTTGATTGCTCCTGTGCGCACTGGCTTCATCTGGTTTGTGGAGGCTGTTTCTTGCAGCTTTACTGCTCCCAAATTGGCTTTATTTTCATCCACCCGCTGCTTTGCCTTTTGACATATAAAAACAAAGCATTAGCTAGTGCAGAGACCTCTAGGCAGATACAAAAATACAAACTGTGACCATCATTCATGCAAGACATCAAATCTGCTCCAAAAATCAGGTATTTCTTCTGTTCTATCACACTTTGCTGTCCTAAAAGACCTAACACGTAATAAGGATCTTGAAGTGTCTCACATGTCTGTCAATGCAAATGACCGATAAAAACTCAACAACAAACACCACGGACACTGTAAAACAGGTAATCCTCTAACCTCTCCTGACTTTCAAATCACACAGCATTACTCTCAGGAGTTGGAACACCCACCTACCCACTCTCCCCGCAGAGAAAATAACAGCTCCCACATACAACGTCAGCACACAGGCCTTTCTGGCACTCCTCGCAAGTCCATGGCACAAGCATGACAGTATAGAAGAGCAGATACTGTTGGGTCAAACAAAGTACTGATGCACACTACCTGTTGAACATAGTGTCCTTGCACAGAGCCCATACTAACTGCTGGTCCAGATGGCTTCCCACTTGGGCTGGCAGAGCTAGGCCTGGAAATCGAAGAGTCGACAATATTCATGGAGTAAATTCTACAATGGAACGAGAACCTTATTCATGTGTGAAAGAATAAAAAGACAGCAGAAAGCAGCAGTAGACAGGGCATGAGTCTGTGCTGTGCAGATCAGTGAGCTCCCCAGCCCAAAAGACAACATATGGATGGGTTGAGTGGGAAAAAAAAAAAAAAAAAAACAACTGGATGTCCCAAAAGGCTCAATGACCTGAAGGTTTGGTATGTCTAGACATGAGCACCTCTCATCTTGAGAGAATCATGCTGGAAATTAAAATGTTTATTCAGTGATCCTTGCATTTTCCACCTTAACAAGCAACACACAAAAGCATATACCAATTCCAATTTGTCTTTAAGACTCAGTAAACAAATAACTTTATGCACTTCCCACAAGCACAAAGGGCCAAATCAGTTACACACTGGCCCACGCCCAAAAATGAAAGCCATAATCATGCACTTTGATACAAGTATTTGGACTATAGCAAGCACATTCTACACATGAAAACCCAAGCGAATCTTGTACAGGGATGATGCACGCACTATGTCACTTCCCCATTCTGACTACAGAGGCTAAGTTCTGCGAACATTTTACCTGTACGTATGTGGTGATGGTACAGACCCTCCGGAGGACATATTCTGTTTACCATCGGAGAAATGAAACCCTTTCATTTCCATTTGGGAGGACTACAGAGGAAAACGCACGAGAAAGAGTATCATCTTTGCATTCACAAATCACTCATTACTTCATATAAACACTTAAGCCAAATCTTTGCCCTTCTACCCATCGTGCCCATTAAAAGAAGAAACATTTTTCAGGTGAAGAAAGTGAGGCTTTAAGTGAAATAATCTGCTTGTATTAAACCAGCAAGCCAGCAGCACAAGCAAATACAGAACCTGGAAGTTAACTGCTATGCTGTGCTCTCTCTCCCCTATAATAGACAAACTTATGATATGAATCCATCAAACCAGACATGACATTAATATACCTACTCAAATGGACAAGCTTCACAACAGTGTGAAATATCTGGGCAGTATTCCAACTGTGTCTGGAGCTCACCACCCCTCAAGCACTCTGGGGAAACCTGTGTAAACATGTAATAAAACTGGAGACTCCAAACTGGATCAAGGCAGGATGTGGCTCCCTGGAAACAGAATGGTGACCAGCAGCAAAACCTGAAAAACTGCTGGCCTGCGCTTTGGAGATGAGGGGAAAAGGGCTCCTTCATTTTACCACCAATCCTTGGCTTTGATATTTAAGGATCCCAAACAAGCTAGTCTCCCCTTTAACAAGATCAAGGAGCGAAACTTCAATGCAGGAGGGGTTAATGAATGCCAAGATGAGCACACAGGAGATAATCCTTACCTCCCTGCTGGTAGCAAGAACAGAAGGCTGGGATCCAGGAGGGAGGATTCTTCGGGGAGCTCCTACAGGCAGGTTTTGCCCCTGAGGAAGCTGGATGGACTGTGGTAGAATCAGGGGCTGCTGGCCAGAGCCATAGCGGGGCAGAGGAAGCTGGGAGCCAGGCACAGGCATTGTTAGCTGCGCGATAAGGACACGTAGTTAACTTACTGGCAGTAACAGTCTTGTGTTTGACACACTGCCTCCTAATACCCTGAAAGCACGGCATTACTAAAAGGAAGCTCACAAACAGTGCAGTCTGGCACAGAACAAATGCAAATCAATGCAACAGAGGGATTTTCACACTGAAATGCATGTTCTGGTAGTGTTGCCAACACCCTAACAGCTGGGCTTTTAACATGGCATTGATTTAACATAACTGCACTCAGACACAGGGCTTTCCTCCTTGCTTAGAACCATCACCCGTTTTTTCAGTCTTCCTCATGGTCGCTGCATAGATGTATTTTCTCTCGATATGACGGCAGCATCAGACAGCTCAGTGTCAGGGGTTTTGTTTGCAACTTTAATGCCCAAACGAGAAAGTCTGCTACATTTCCATGCCAAAGCATTTTGAGGACCGGACCTCTAGAGAAAGTGATGGTGACCTCAGCTATACGTTCTGCAGTCAGCTTCAAACTGATGATGGTAATAATTAAGAGTAATTTAAAAAAAAAATGCAGCTCAGGACTGAGGACAAGAGCCTCCTGTTCCCTCTGATTCATCTGACAGTTCTCACCGTTGCTGGATTTAGGAGGTTCTATGACAACATTTTGTAATAAATAAATAAAATAAAAAAATCTAAGGCTGGTAAAAGAGACCAAGTTACTAGCTTATGATGGATAAAGAAAGCATTTCTTCAAATATTTAGTTTGCCAGTATTTTCTGTATTTTCCTCAGCTAAGTTACTTCCACAATTAACTCTGTCAGTCACAACATAAAAATCCCTCTTTAAACAAAAAATAAACCTTAACATGTTGCAAAAAATAAATGTAAGATGAGTTTAATTAAAGTATCAAACTTCTTCAGAGAATCAGAATACATGTCCACAAATATAGCCAGGCTCACAGTAGGATTCAATGTCCTTATCTGAGCCATGCTTTACAAAAACTTCTTCACACAATGAAATTCTTGTTAAGATGCTACCAAACAGATCAGCAGAAGTTGTAAATAAGACCTGGATAACAAATGAAATGAGAAAATAGACGAGCTTTTATTAAAAGGTCCTAGTTACCCTGGAAGCCGAGTTACATCTGGAGACAATTGTGATTTGGCTCTCAGAAGAGGTACTTTTAGGACTATTGCACCATGGCCTCCTAAGCACTGCAAGGTCCGATCTGCATGAAATGTCTATATTGAAGGCAAGGACTTCCAAGTTACAAAATGACATCTCAGCAGGGACAGACAAGTAATTAGCAAGAATCTCATTAAATAAGGTGCTGCGTGTTTGAAACAATGGTTTACAGAACAGAGTCTCGGGGAAATCTTTTGCCTCTTTACAAAGAGCTTAGTTCACACAAACGCACGACTCAGCACAAATACTAGTTTCAACCCAGTCTCAGAAACAAGTGGTTGTGAAAAAGCCTGTACAAAGGAGTGGCTTGCAAGCCGGGCTCCTAACCTGCGTAAGCTGAGAGTCCATCATCTGCGAGGCTCCCATACCAGCTGCCTGGTTTATCTGGCCTTCATAAACCAGTGTCTGGCTTCCATTCATGGGCTGATAGGGGGACCCAGACTGGGTTTTTACCACCTCCAAGGGCTGCATGCCTGGGAAGGCGGAATACGGAGGCTTCAGAGCAGTGCCTCCTGTCAGGACCATGGTGCTGGGTTGAGACAGACTGGGGTGCATATACACCTGAGACCTGGAGAAGAAGCATACATTCAAGTCATCACACAGAAAATTTTGGAGACTATACCCCCCCCCCCCCGCCAAACCATATCTGGCCTGCAATCAGCAAGTGGTTCTCAGACTCTACTAAATCGACAGCTTAGAAATAAGCTGTGATGCCACTTTTCATTTTAGTTACAGTGGTTTTTTTATTTCCACCTTTAAGCCCTTACAGCCGCGTCCTTGTATTGCAGGAATATTCAACAGAATGACACCGTGTCCTACCCAAAGTTTATGTTTCAATATCCTGCACAATAAGCTCTGGATTAGTAGTAAGGGAGGATTCACGTTACCAGCAATCTGCAGCAGCTTTGCAAAGCAGAAAAGAATCAGAAGTTAAAGATTCAAACAGCTGTAGCAAAAAAGTTGTTTGTTTTTTTTTAAACCTCAGTGTCTAGGTTTTTGAGGCCTTTAAGGACTATTCTGATCATTCACTCTCATCTCATGCAGGAAAGGGGTACAGAGTAACATTCCCACAGCCAGCCCAACTCTGAAGCGGATGTCTCAATCCTTCAGTTCTAGTAAGCAGTTCCTGTAGCCCAGTACTGTTGCTGTTACACTTGCATTCAATTTTCTGATTTGAATCTTGTAATTTTTTCTCCAACAAAGTGCAGGCAAAGAGTTATTTAATTTCACTATGCAGCTACTCAGCTCTGATCAAACTGCCTCTTTGTCTTCTCTCCAGTAGTAAACCACAACAAGCTGTAAGCTCTGGGTTTCTTACTAGTAAGTCTGCTTGCCAGCCCAAAAACCTCCTCTTTCTGCATCTTTCCCAGGATTTGCCTCCCCTTTTGAGAGGGTAGGCAGTAAAACCGAATAACCTTCCAAGGATGGTCTTTGGCATGTCCTACAAAGAAACATGCTACAGAGAGCCTTGTGAGCCCTGATATCCTTGCTCTCCATCCCAGCAGTGTTACTAGGGGAAGGAAACAGCAAGTCAAAGGGGGAAGAGAAGATGAGTGCAGAGTATCTGATCAATGTACATAGACATCAGGAACATAAGAACTTAAGCCACAAGGAAATGAAAAACTGGAAGCAGTTACCTGAAGGGCTGTATGGAGCTGTACATCTCCTGGGACTGGGAAACAGGCAGACCACCCCTCAACCCAAGCTGAGCTTGGGCCTGTAAGGATGTGTGGAGGGAAATGGGAATCTGTTGAGCAGCAGCAGCAGCCTGCAGAAGAAATTAAGATGACTGAGAAGTACAAGAGGAGCCAGAAACTCTCCCAGGCTGCTAAAAATCCACCAGTTTCCTCCGTGAGTCAATCTGCCATGATAATTACCTACACTGCACCTTTACCCAGCCCCTGCATCATTCCACAGAACAGCAGCACACTGGCAGGAGAACACATTGCACAGGCACCCAAGAGTGAAGACTGATGCCTGCAAAAGGCATTTGATGGACACATGAGGGACCAAAAAGCTCCGCACACAGAACATGCACTGACAATCCCAGATCTCACTTGCCTGCACGCTTACCTTGAAGGGGTTCTCCCCAACCCTAACACCCTATTCACTAAGGCTAGTGAAATTGCTCATTAGTATTGACAGGCTATAGAATTTACTGAAAGTCACTTTACCTCACACAGATGCCTCAGCATCTGCTTCAGTTAAACCCAGCCCAAAGGCACTGGTATAAAAAGAGGAAAAAACCTCAATTCCCCTCCCTTCAATTTCACTAACCTGTAACACCCACTAGGAAGCAGCATTCAAGGAACCTAAAGGGAGCCACGTCTAAACTTTTTTGGGCTATCAGAGAGATAAATGACTCTTCGTTTCTTAAATGCTACCCTGAAGACTCCTTGAGAAACCACTAGCTAGTTGTATTTCTCCCTTACCTGTTGGTAGCTTTGCTGCTGAGGTATCGTCTGAGGGACCAGGCGAGGCTGACTTGCAAACACATGGCCATCCAGATATAGGGGTGGAATATGGTTACCTAAACATCAGAGAAGGCAGGCTGTAAATTCAATGTACAGGGGAGATACAGGCACAGAACGCTGCAGAGACCTGCAGGTCAAGACTATTTCCTACTTTTCAGAAACCAGCTTAGCAAGTCAACACACAGTACCCATTCAGAAGAGCCTGTAAAGCTCATAAGTTCACATATCAAAGCCAGCAGCCCCACTTTACAGTAGCAGGCTTGCTGAGAATTAATCATAACCTTCTGTAAAAGGCTAAATGTAAACCCAGGTTTCCCACCTCCACAAAAAACTCAGAGACACTAACAGTTCAGGAATTGGTGACCTGCACTCCAAACTGTTCCTAAATGCCAGAAACCTGCAGTCATCTCATCTTTGCAGCTAGGAGGGACAGAAAGAGCAAACATGGTGTTTGAGACCTTCACGCAAGAGCTCTAAAAGCCATATCCACCCCAAAGGTGGCACCAATCAAAGTGCTGTGCCACTCCTGTGGTTCTGTGCAGATCTGAACCATGGGATTTACAAGCAAAATTACAGTGGGTGGGTAAGCAGATCACCTGACTTGGAACAATCCATTTTCCAAGTGGAAGCTATTAACAGAGTCACTACAGTGGTCCACTCCCTATCATTTCTGTCCAGCATATTCCATTCCATTCTTGAATTGAGGAATCAGAAGGATAGTGCGTACATGAGAGGTCCTTTGGGACCCAGGAGCCAGAGAATCCAAGTACATTCCTTTTTTCCAGATGCTCTCCGTAATTATACACACTACCTAACATGACTGAGCTCAAGCTTTTCCTCTAACTCAAGGACAGCAACACCTTCCCACATCCCAGACTTCTGCAAACTGTAAGCAAGTTGTTATTACATACAAAGAGCAGAAGGTGCTCAGAACGTGTGACTTAAATAGCAAAGTGAGCAGAGGAATGGTTGATATTGATATTGGGACTGTTGAAGTCTCTCAGCCATAGGTTTCTGTTTCTTCATTTCCCTTCTACTCTATCGAGCACACAGGGAAGGGTAAGCAGGATCCATTGAGACATCACAGAGACTTGATGCTACACCGGGAAAGTCGTCCTTGTGCTAAGATTATACCAGTCACACTCAAGTAACGTTCTTCAAAGTGGGTAGATGGTCCCTCTTTCTGTCTTGACTAAATTGGTGTTAAGAATCTGTTAAATACCAGCCACCCAGTTACTTTACATGGAAGCTCTTCTCACCATGCTACAAGAATCAGGGGATGATTCCTAGATACCAAACAGACAATGCAAATACCGCTGCCACAGTTTGCAGGTACCTGGAATAGATGCAGAAGGTGCTACGGACGCCACAGGCATAGGCGGCATAGAAACTCCACCAAAAGAGCTGTAGCTGACACCGTTGGAAGCTCCAACGCTGGAAGGAGGCTGGATGCCTGAGCCTGCGCCTCCTGGGGAGTTCTGTTCTGGTAAACTAGGAGAGTTTTCCCAAGCTTTACGAGCAGACTCCATCTATGGAAATGAAGGACAATAACTACAGACAGTTCAAATGGGGAGGACAATACTGAAGCCTAGAGTTGCTCATCTATGATCTATTAGTTCAAACTCAATCTAGTCTAGTCACAGTGGAAAGTTGGCAGGTCTCAGGTCAAGGAGTTTCACACCAATTTCCAATGGGCAAGCATCCTTCACAAACACTCAATCCCCCTTGGTATTTGCTGAGCTTTTTGGGGTTGTGGTGGTGGTGGTTTTTGGTTTGGTTTATTTTGGGTTTTTTTTGTTGTAGTTTCTATGTTTGGTTTTGGGTTTTTTGTTGTTTTTCTTCTTTAAATCATCAAGCACCTAGGATCCGTGACCAGCCATCCTACCCAACTACTGAAATAGTAGGAAAGCTCTGTTGCACCTGTTCTACAATTGGTAAGGACTTCAGCATCCAGGACTGCTGAAACACATGCCCTTCCACCCATGCTGAATAGCATATATGCACAACGTTTATAGAAGCTAATTAAAGGTTTAGCAGTACCTAACAAAATGCTCTGGGAAAGAACTCTCCATCTTCACTACTCTGGCCATGGAGACATGGTATCCACACCTAGGACAAACACACATGCCAGCTTGCTTACCTTAAGAGTAAGGTCTGCAGTGGGGAAGGACATTGGGTTCAGGCCAATGCACCGCTGGAGGTGATGATCTCTTCGCAGAATGGGAATGGACTGCGTTAACCCTGCCTGAGGGGAGATTCGTAAATGGTAAATATTTTATAAACTCTTAAGAGAATGTCATGAGCTACCAAGGCTGATAGAGCCTCAACTGGCAGCTCTAGTAACTACACCACAAAGGATTCAACCCTCAGTGGTACTGCAGGAGTTAAGTACCACACTCAACCATGATCCATTCTGCTGTTGGAATAAATGAAGCTTCAGTTATGTGCAATGACAGTTATGTCAAGTTACACCAGCTTCCACTTAAACATCAATTTGATCCAGTAACTTCAATTTGCAGAAGAGTTCCCCCTCCTGTCCCATATTTGGAATGTACCTAAATTTCAGACAAAACCTGTTTCCGAGAGACCACTTCTGAAAAGAAACACCCTTTAAGACAAACCTCCAAAATCAAATGGCCTACAAACTTGAAGACATTTCAAAAACAGCTCTATGAGTTTCTCACATTGCTGTCCACAGCTGAGCTGCAAGCTGGGCTTTCAGTGTGCTCACTCTTTCACATATAATAATGAAATACCCAGATGGCTGGAATAAGCTGGGAAACCTCTAGAAGGGCCTGACTAACAAGTTACAGTTCTCTGCCTTGCTGTGGCAGATGAGACCTTCTGGGGAAGTGGGCAGCCCAGGCCTAAAAACACCACTATCTGTCTGCATCATGTCCATTACCAGCACTCTTTTGTGTCTCAGGGGAGGAGACTGGTGATGTCAGAGATCTGCAATACCTCTTGCTTTACACAGGTCACAATGATAATGGAGTTGCTCCCTATATCAAAATGAGCATCACTGGCTCAGAAGTATCAAGGCACCTTGAAGGCACAGATTTCCATTATGGATTTTAGTTACATGTGTTGCCTAAGCATTAAGTGTGAAGTCAACTGCAAAGAAATATGCTTGCTCTCTTTGGAAGCATCTGAGGTTTAACTAAGGAGTATCTCCAATGAATCAATGCCAAAAGAAAAAATAAATACTTACATTACTGGCCAAGGCATCCTGCAATTTGGTGACAGGGTTAGCTGCAGTGCCAGAGGCAGAACCAGGCGGCAAGCTGAAGTCAGAGTCCTGAAAAAGCAAAACACACAAAATTCAAATCCAGGTCCAAGGGCCATCCATCTGCTTCTCATGGTTAATGACTTTAGCCTGAATTATGACACTAGAAACTAAAGATTGTCCTCCAGTAAGCCTTGCTGGAAGAGAACAAAAAGACACTTCTCAGCACTCAGCAGCAGGCAACCCCCAGAGGCGCACAAAAGCTTAGATGGCCATACTTTTGTCCCTCACTTCTGATACCACCCCAGCTGGTCCTTGGGACAATATTTCCAAGAGGATATTATGTGTTTGCCAAGACATCTTGAGTACCTGGTTTGTGTCAGTAATGAAATCTAAGGCAAATCTACAGCTGGAAGCCTCCTCTAAATAATCCTTCTGCCTCAAACCACCTTTCATATCTCAACAAGCTCAAATCACCAAGAAGATAAAATTAAATTCGATCCTCACTTTAGGATTTACTCCAAATTCAATGGGTGGCACAGGAAGTACAGAATCCACGTGAATTTCCACCCCGTTAACAGGGGGAATATTCCCTTCCAGCCGTTCCGTTCCCTCCGAACCCTTTCTGTTTTTCAGGGAGCGTTCGTTGCCGATTGGTCCAGGCTTGTGTTCCTTGTTCTGTCCTGAGCCTTGATCTGAATCCTTAACAGGAAAGCAGAGAGGCTGAGACACAAAGACTGAATAACCCAATCTCAAGCCTTAAAAATGCTATCAAGAACAACACAACCACTTCACAAGGTCTCTCACTATGTGCTTTGGCTTGGCTGCAAATCCAGATTACCTTTTTATCAGATTGCTTCTGCACTTGCTCCTTCTGGCAGTCAGGCTTTGGGTCCACCAGGCCAGCCCCATTCATCTCCTCTGGTTTGAGGGTGCCATATGGAGAACTGCGCTGAGAGGAGGTAGCGGAGGATTCCCGAGACTCCGCGCTCAAGTCAATGCCACTATCCCCCTGGCTGCCTTTAAAACCCTGCTATGCAAAGCACGAAATGTGTTAAAGCCCCAGACTCCGACCCAGCTCCACAAAGGAGGAAAAAAAAAATCCCAGAAAACAGCAAGACCATGTCCCCTTTTCAAATCACATTCTTGGTTAACTGCAAAGGAGTTGGGCCTGACCTGCAGGCATCCCTTGGCTGCTGCTTCAGCTCTACACAACCCTGAGACAGGTTAACCAATACACCAACCGGACCATGGCTTTAGAATAAGGAAAAAGTGTCACACATAGCAACTAGGCTGAGATTGCCAAACTCATTTCACTTGTGACCCAAACCAGATTTGAACTCTGGTCTCCAGAGGTGAAGCATTCAGGAACCTCCTCCGCCCTCCCTGCATTAAGGCTACAGCTACACACTGCTCACAGGCATGAGGCACACAAACACAACCTACAGGATTCCACCATCCTCGACCACGCTCTGTGTCCAGTTAGGAGCATAACCCTGGAATAGCTCTACCAACAGTTACTCCAGATTTATACCCACATGTAACACCAAGCAGCGCTTGGCCCTCTAGGTCAAGATTTGAGCATCAAGCTCAAATCAGAACTGCAAAGAGACAGTTTAAAATTGCACAAGCAGAGCTGAGAGTCGCTAAGCACAGATGGAGCAATGAGAAGCATAAGCCACCTAACATTAGTATTTTATACACGCAATACCTGAATGGCACATTAGGTGCCACTTACCTCAGTGGCGCTAGATTCAGTACCATTAAAGGTATTTACAGGCTTGCTCCAGGAATCACTGCCAGGAGACTGAACGGAAAGAGCTGGAAGAGAACAGAAGGCAGGGTTCACCTGCTTGAAACACAGCTGTGAGCACACCTTGTACGCTGTGCATGTTACACTACTAACTTTCCATTTCTAGACACGAGATATTTTCACCATCTCAGAAAACCAGTGTTGCCCAATCAGCTGAGACATGATGCAGCACAAAGACAACAGGGTATGGAGAGCGAGGGTAGAGAACAGGGAAGAGACTTCTTAGGGAACATGAAAACAACAGGAGAAAGAAAGGGCAGAGAGAAACAAGGGAGGCACTAGCTATTCAGTGCTAGAGGATGAGAAAACAGAGGAAGGCAAAATAAGAAAATGGCTGAAGTAGATCCAACCCAACAGGCTAGAAAATGATATATAGTAGGATCTTGATGTTACACAAAGACTGAAGAAATAGATTAGGAGACTGACATGGTCAACAACAGGAGGAGGATGGCTGAACAGTACAGTTTTGAACAGATGCTACTCCAGATGTCTGTTAGCTCCCCTCCCACTTCCAGCATCAGACAAGAGAAGGTTGTCTCCTCTTAAGCACAGACACCCCATCCTTCCTGCACACACCAGAGGATTCCTCAGCTCTGTGAAACACCTCAGAACAGACTCAAACTTACCTGGGCTGTTGCTCTCCCAGATCTCTGTGCCCAGGCTGTTTCCAGACACTGTTACATCACTTTGCTCCAAGCACAAGCTGTTCTGTTTCTTAGCAAATCGAGGAGGGATGCGAGACTGAAGGACGCGGGCCTTAGCTGGTGCCTAAGAGAGAAAAGGCACAGGCTGTAAGACCTGTTACTGCACTGGACTAACACAGTCTGCTCCTGGCAAGTTCAAACCCTGGATTTCTAAATGCTGCAATGTGAAGAGCCCCCAACTCATGTAACAGAACCATACCAAGTAGTTCTGACCCCCTCCCCACTCTTACCCAGTGGCTACTGGGAGGTTCCCCCCATCTAACAAGGCTGTGAAAAAACCTGCCTTCAGCAGCATGAGATTCTTCTCTTTTGGGGAGGCAGGGGAACAGGATACAAAGCAAAACAAAACTGACACTACAACATACTTGCTCTGCTTAATTCCTCTCTTTTTTACTCCAGCTAAAGCAAGATCAATTAATAATTTCACAATACAGAGATGGCTCTTTCACAGAGCCAAGATCTGAACAGAAAGAGAAGCACATCTCTGCAACAGCAAGACCCTTCCACTGCACATTCACACATTGTCTTCAGCTTAATTTTAAAGATGCCAAGCAACCAGGCTTTTATAACTTTGCTTGCAAGACTCTCTGAACCTACCGCAAGCCCTCCTTGTCAGGAAGCATTTCCCAACGACACTTTTCATTTGCATTTAGTCCTCCAGATTTCACTAAGTCTCCTTTCATGTCAAAATATTCTCTTATCTCCCTAGAATCTGCAGTCTTCCCATACATGTAGACAAATGCCCCCCCTCCTAAACATTACTTAACTAAGCTACCCACACTGCAGTCTTACATCTTTTCTTGTAAATCAACTCTTTTATCCTATTATGAACATGAAATTGTCAGAGTTTCTTGCAGTTTGTTAGTTTCTTTCTGGTCAGGTGCCCAGAACACAAACATGACACCTCTGGCAAGGAAGCTACCACATCCTGTTCTAGCAGTAACACGTTGTTGACACAGCAAGAGTGCAGAGGTCCTCCACTGGTCACTGCTGCCCACCAACTACAGCCAGCAACCGGCTTAGTGAGTGAAGCTGCTTTGGATGAGGATCACTTTAGAAAACCCTCCTTAACTTGCAATTAACAATTATGCTAGTAAACAAGAACAGTCAGAAGTCTAATCACCCTTTTCAGACCAATGGCCCCTGCCCATCTGAGCCAAAATATGTTTCCGGGGCCTAATATAGGATCTGTACTACCTTGGCCAACTGCATGTTTTTCTGCTCATCCAAACACTTTTGGGGCTCTGTTCCTCCGACTGCAGTCCAAACAATGTATCAGGTTAAGCTTTTTCTGCCTCCCATTCCTCACCTGAGCAGCCTGTTCCTTCTTCCTTCGCTCCTCTTCCAGCAAGCGACGCTGCTTTTTAGTAAGAACCTCAATGAAGCCTTCACCTGCCATAGAACCTACTTCATTCTCTTCTGCTGTGTTCGACACCCGATTATCAATGATGGTACCTGAACAAAGCATATATAGGGAAAAAAACAGTGCATGTGTGTATGCATATAAAGCTTTACGATTGCAATAATTTAAAAAGTGCATTCCAAATAGGAACCATTCAACGGGCAAACAAGTTCAGCTAACGGCACTGCAGCTAAGCTTTGAAAACTAAGCCATGGCAATCTGTTGACATCTACCAGTCACTTTATCCTGCAGGGCTTTGCTCTCCTCTACGTCAAGATGAGCATGCTCCAGCTGGAAGAGCTTGGAAATGTGAGCCATGTGGTAACTTGGGTAGCTTTAGGTATAGTATCAGTTGAAAAAAACCTCACACCTTTCCAAATACTAGCAAGGACAAAGCAGGCATAGGTACTTTTGAAAACACACCCATCTCCTCTGGATGTAAAACCTCAGCTCTATGAACAGCAAAAAGCTGAGTCATGGCCTAATGCCAATGGTTTCAGAGATACTAATTTCTTGCCCTCCTGTCATGAGCTCAGACTCAAATTCCCCACTCCGGATGCTCTTTCAATTTCCTGCACACTACGTAAGGTATTTTGAGCTTGAAATTTAACATCTTGGATAGAAATATTCTCCCTAAAACCAAACTTTCTATAGAAGAAACATTAGAGAAACTGTCAGATCTGGCTGAAAGTTTGGGTTTAAAATTTAAAACCACCTTTGTCTTCCATGTTTTCCCTATTTAGATACACTAGAATTTTCTTGCTTGAGTAAATAAATGGAAAAAATCTAACCTGATATTTAAAATTACACTGGATTCAATCAGTCTGGCTTCAAGTTAGCCACAACGTGTTATCCCTTTAAAGGAAACAAATTAAGACACTCACTTCCATAACTCAGTTCGAACTGTGACAAGGCCTCTCCCTTCTCACTTGCTCTTTGCGCAGTGGATTTGGGCTCCTTCTCTGGCTTTTTACCTGGACCCTCAGCACTTTCTGAGTTTGCATGGGAGGTCCTATCCAAGCTGTAAATAGAGTGGCTGCTCCCACCACTGGTGTTGCCAAGGCCACCTCCTTCTTCTGGAGACCTACAAGGAAAGAAGAAATTAGATTTTTCACAAGAAGATGAGTAAAAGTAGCAAGAAGAAAACATATGGGCTATTATTTTCTTCATGATTTTTCTAACTGCACCTCATCCTTCCACAGCCGTCGCTCAACTGAAGCAGATGTTAAATTCTGAGCACAGAGCCCATTACAAGGATGTTGCTGGGGAAGTGGGATGGAAACAGAACAATACCTGTACTCATGAATCAACCAACACACTGCCCCCGCAACAAAGCTAATAGCCTAGCTTGTCCCTACGAGGAGGGCTCTGTGCTTCTGCAGTGTCTCCTACCGTCCTATAACACTACTCTAACAGCTCCCCTGCTCCTCTTTGCAACTAACACACATTTCGTGGCAAGCATCAGGTGAGGGGAAGGGAAATGTGGAGAGGCTGATGACATCGAGAAAAAAAAAGAGTTTCCCATTTTGTTTCTCCCAGAATTATTTTGCCCATTTGACCACCATCCACACATCATTCCCAAGCATTCAACTCAAGAGAGGCATGGTTAAAGGAGAAGGTAAAAAAAAAGTTTCCCCCTTCCCTTACTTTCCCTTTCTACCTGCCTGCATCCTTCCAGACATCAGCTCTCCTCTCCCTTATTTCTATATAAACTACTACTAGTTACTACATCCAGGAGTTGGGGGAGATGGGCACAAGAGGACAGAAAATAACAAGTTGCCTATTTATCAGTGCTTTAAACCCAATACAATGCAGCTGCACAGGACTTTTTTCCGCCTGTTCCTGTTAAAGGAAAAGGCGAACGAGGGAGCTGTCAAATTGGCCCAGGACCAAGGCCCACCTAACCCAGCGTCCTGTCAATCACCAGATTTTTCACAGGACACAGGAAAATACTTAATCCCTAGTGTCGGAGTTGTCTTAAAATACTCTCAGGAGGAACTCCTCCCACCATGCTAGGAGCACACAGTGCTGCTTGCCATTCATCACTGGTCTCCACTAAGATGTAAGAAAATATTTGCTGAGGCAAAGCTAGGACTGGCGATGTCACACATTGTGGTCATGCCACAGCCACACTACTGGGAATCCAGGTGCTCAACCTACACAGTTCACGGTAACTTATCCCAGGAAAACCCAACCCTCACTTCTGTGCTCTCCTATACTCCGCTGGGACCCATGACAGGACAGGAAGGACACAATAGGTTTGGAGTTAAGGACCAGGATTTCTTTCATTATCCTTCATGCCTCCAGCAAGAGGCAGTCCAGAAAGTGGAGAGCTGTCTTGGCCCGAAACTAAGGTGAAGAAGAACAGCACATGTCATGCCCACAGTGTCTCAGCAACTTCCATAAACCTGGATTCCCAGCATGGAAGCAAAGACGTCAGTCAGTTGTAAAACAGACAACGATAAGACCCTTAGATGTCACAAGGTTGGATAAATGGTGCTGGAAGTCACCTGCACTAGAAGAAACACAGTCAACAGCTCCTCACCCACAGTCCAGCCCTTCTCCACTCCTCCAGTATCTGCATATCAGATGACAGATATCCATACGTCAGAATGCAACTTTACCTTTTGCTTTTTATCAGTGTCCCATTCTGCTGGCTCTCGTATCTGGAAGCTGTTCCTACACCAGTCCTGACAGACTGCTCTGCAAACCCTGCTGGCTCGGCCTTGCGGCTCTGCCTGTCGACAAGTGGCCTTTGGCTTGAGAAGCTCCGCTTCGCTAGCTCCCTCTTCTCTCCCAAGCTCCCACTCCCGAGGCCACCCTCCAGCTGGCCTTCACTCTCTGAAACTCCATCTCGCCTCTCCCGCCGCTCGCTGAAGTCACTGCTTTCAGATGCTGTCTCCCACTCCTCGTTGGCATGGTCTGATGAGTTCTGGTAGGACAGCTCAGGAGACCGTCTGCCCGAGATGCTGCTCTTCTCTGCAGTGGTCAACTTGGGTCTTCCAGGCCACTGGCTGGGCAGCAGGTTGGGGCTTCCCTCTTCGGGGTTCCACTGGCCGACCGATTCCCTCTCTTGCCTGAGGCGCCTGAATCGTGGGGGCTTGTCTTGGCGGGGGGGACGCCGCCTCCTGAATGGCCTGTTCTCTATGTTCTCCTGATCAGCTGAGTAATCCTCCTGGAAAAAGTGCCTTTTGTCATCCAGATGACTCTCATCAAAAACCCGGCTGGAGAAGGAGTCCACATGTTTATAAGAATCCTGAATGTAGTCCCTGTCAGACTGCTGCCTGCTCCCAAAAGTGTCTGATGGAGAGGCGTGGCTGTACTCCTGCCACCCTGCTCCCCCACTCCTGCTTTGCCACTGGCTGGGCTCCTTACCCATGAAACTCCTTCGCCCATAGCCAGAGTTGCTCAGTCTTGGCGGCAGTGATCTCCCAAAAGCTCTTGGAGCCCTCATCTTAGGATCCAGACTACTGTGGTCATCTGAATAGATTTTGTTGGACCTCCAAGACTCTTTGAAGTCTCCCTTTTTCAAATCACTGTCCTCCCTGTCCAGCACAGAGCCTTCATTGCTGTTTTCTGAGCCCCTCTGCCGGCGACGCTTGGGGAGCTCCTCGTATTCTGACCCTTCACTGTGTGTCTCGCTTGCAATCCGGCGCCTTGGCTTGCCTCTAGGGAAGTCCTCTGGCTGGTTGAACTCCCGAAGCCCTCGCCCTCGGCTGCTCCGCTGGTTGTTATAGACTCCCCGGCTACCCACAACAGTGCCTCGGCCTCGGAAAGTGAACTCTCTGAAGCCTCTCCCTCGCCCACGCCCTTGGCCTCTCCCACCAAAGGCTTGTTCCTCATCAATGAAGATCCAGTTGTTTCTTTTTGTGGGAGGGAGATCACCAGACTCTCTGGACAATTTGTTCTCCCAGGTTCTTTCTGGCTTCTCTTCCTCCTCTTCTTCCTCCTCTTCCTCCTGGGACTTCTCAGCCTCTCGGGCAAGGGTGGTTTGGGAAGAACCTTTGTCATCCAGCAGGTAACGCGTGGAGTTCAGTAAGGCTGCAGAATCATCTGACTCATTTTCTACTCTCTGAACTGCTGCCTTCTCCTTCAGTGGGCGTGAGGTGTCCTCTCCCTCCAGTTTAACCTTCTCCATCTCCTTCTCTTTCTCTTCCACTTTGAGGGCTTTCAGGACTGGTTTTTTAATTGGGCCTGATCGTCGCGTCCTCCCCATTTGCTCCTGGTGCTGACCACTGGTGTTCCGGTTCTCAGGAGCCCACTCTGTTGTCTCTTCAGTGGGCTGTTTGGTATTAGCTCCTTCTTTCTTCCACGGGTCAGCACTGAATGACTGCTCATCCCTGGACACTTCCTCAGCAACTTCTGCTGCAGTCTCTGCAGGTTTCTGATGGTGGCTGATATCCCAGCCATTATATTCAGGCTTCTTCTCTGCTTGGATAAAATCAGGTTCTAGGGGCGAACACCTCAAGTTTGCATGGCGGTTGCCAGCAGGACAGGTTTCCTGCACAGTCTCCTGATGCTGAAACAAGAGATCTTGGCCTATCCTTTGAGAAGACAGACAGCTGTCAAAGTCTGCCTGGGCCTTCTTGTCAAAAGCATTCAAGTACTCCTCCCCTCTCTCTTCAAAGAGATCTCGCTGGGTGCTCAGACTCTCTGGCCTTCCAGGAGAAGCAGAGTAACTGTCATTCCTGAGAAGGAAACAAACAACAAACAAAAGAAAGTCAGCTAATGCAGAGCACAGCACATCTCCAAAGGCCCAGGCTGGGCACAAGAGGTGGAAACAAATAAATAAATCAGGGTTTGTTCCAAATCATGAGGCAATGAGCCTATAAATACCTGAACGCTGGGCGGATGCTGTGGCCCCAGGCTGTACTGCCTGGTTTGTCAAATCAATGGATGATAAAGAAAGCAGTTCCTATGATGGGCAGCAAACTTAAGAAATAAAGGGAGATTCAGCCTCCAACATATGTGGAGATCTGAAAACAAGGAATTGGTTTCAGAAAGTCCCAAAGAATTAGGAGACAAACTAGCAAGTATCAGAATTTTTGACTCATTGTTTTCTGTACCTACCCATGTAGGTGACAAGTGCCTCTCTCCTACTGAACAGGCTCCAAGCTGGTCAGCCTTGACTGGCATCAGATAGAAAAACTCTGAATAGCTCAGTCTCTAAGCACCTCCACAACACAAACACTCAACAGTGTAAGAGTGCTACCAGATCAGTACCTTGGCCTGTTCAGCGATATCTTGTGGGTCAACTCTACATCTGCTTTTCAGCAGGAGATGATTTACGGCAGCACCTCCCACCACAGCATGCATGAGGACAGGGGAGTTCTGCACTCACCTGGCATGCAGCCCCTCCATGGTCATGTTGTCAGCCTGTTTTTGATGTGACAGGGAGTACCCTTTGCTTTGCAGAGATGTGTAGCTCTCCTGGCCCCACACTGGCACAGGGTCCAAGGGAGCAGTTTTCCTTTCTGCCTGCCCTGCCTGACAGTTCTGATCTTCAGACCGACAGCTGCTCCCACCAATGGTGTCCTGCTGAATCATGGGCTTCATAATTCCTGGTCACGACAGAGTTCATACCATTAACACTAGGATCTCATAGCCAAGAAGAATCAACAATCCACAGCTAGTTCGACTGCCCTTCCTTCCAGGGCAGCAGGTGACTGCAGCCATGGAAACCCTTCTGGTAGAGGGGAGCCTGTGCTTAGGAAATACACACCTGGGAAGTATACCTAGAGTGATACAGAAGGTAGCACAACTTTCAGAGCCCAGTCTGCACAGAACACTACACACCATCACTGGCTTGGAAGTAAGCACGTGTGTGAAAGCAAACCACAAACGCAAGGGAATGATTTATATGTCCTGATGTTTATATTCACACCTCTGAAGACCAGTAACAAGGAAGGAAGGTGCTAGGAGCACACAGCTCAGGAACTACAGGATTTCTCCATCACATTTCTTGAAGGGGGTCTATTAAGATTTCACATGATTACAGTAACTCCCAAACTGATCCTTCTCCTCCAAGGGGCGAGATTTGCTTTTACACCCACTAAGGCTCCAAAGCTGCTAGGGAAGATCTCCCACTGCAGTGCAGGGGATGATGGACAGGCAGGTGTCCTCCCTCCCAACCTCCTCTGTTCTCTCACCAGCTCTCATTGCAACCAACTCTTTCTCATCCCTAGAGAAGGTCAATCACAGCCAGCCAGGACGCAAAGTCTGGACAGAGGTAAGATGAAGCACAGCAACTTTCCAGATATGGACCAACTCAACAGCCATGATAAAGGGAAATGCTGAAAACACCTTACCTGAAGGGTGAAGGGCTGAAGGGTAGAAATCTACAGGGGTGCGACTCTGGGCCATGCGAGGGTCCATATAAGAGGGCATCATCATCCACCGAGGATCAAAGCCAAGCATCTGGGGGTGCGGCGGGTAGAACGTCCGTTGGGGATGGGAATGGGATGGGGGAGGATAGACTTGCTGCTGCTGCCAGTGCTGCATCTTGTACAGCTGCTCCTGCAGGGAAGAAGGATGGGCTGTTTGACATGAATGGTCACGGTGCCAGGAATCACACTTGCAAACTGGCTAGCCAAAGGAAAACACATTCCATGTGTTAGAGGCTCAAAAGCAGATCAGATGGGAGGGTAGAGCAGATAAGGGCAATTCAGTACCAGCTGGGAACGTGGCAGTTGTCATTGTTCTCTAAACACCCAAACCAGCCTGAATACGTTGCAGCCAGAAGTGCAGCCAGAATCTCACTCCACTATGGGCCACACTACGTGGCCAAATGCAAGGGATCAGCTTCAAGACTGGAGTTTGTATTTTCTCAATGCTTCTATGAGACACAGGGCAGCTTTCTGTCAAACAATTTCTTAATTGGAACCAAATACTTTAGAAGATGTTGCTGTTTGGAGGAAATGCAATTATAAGTTATTTAGTGTGCATATATATTAGTTCTACTCATGTTAGCCGAACAGATTAAATAAGAACAACCTAAACTCAATTAAGACAGCTATTAATATTTTATAGTATTTCCTGTACATCCTTCAGAGATGGGCTGACACCTTCGGGTTGTGTCCCATCTCCCACATGGCCAGTTCACCTTCCTTAAGCTGAGGACTGTCATGATGCTGATCTGATTTGACATTTAACTTCTGCTGAAGTTCCAAGAAGAACTTATATTTGAAGGGAGCTTTGTGTACCGAAGAAAGCTTTCAAAGGTAAACAGCTCCAATTAGCATGAAATACATCTATTTACCTGTCAAACTTTCCACCATCTTTTCTTACTAAGCTTACAGTGTCTGTAACTGCTTACTGTAACTGTTTATAAAAAAAGCCAATCCCCTACTGCAGAGCAAGAGAGACACCCTGAAATCTGAACCTGACACATCATTATGGCAAAAGAGAAACTCAGATAAATGCAAAGATTATATCCAAGTTATCTAGTGCTTCAGTACCTTGGAGAAAATATTTCATGAATGATACCAACACTGTTTTTTTTTATTTTGTTCTTTTCATGGAACCATTGCTACCAAAGCAGCAACACAAGCCAGCCAAAATACAAACTGCTTCATATATACTAACAACACAGAGGATAAGAGAAAATAAAATGAAAATTTCATGTTCTTCCAGTAGCAATGACCTGTGGTGTTATTAGCAAGACAGCAAAGACATCCAATTATTTTTGGTTTAAGAGCATCTCTTTTAAAGAGTAACATTAGCAGCGTTTGCTGCTGTACATTTGAATCATGAAAACATCAACTGCCCACTAACAAGCACAGGGGAACATCCATAAAAAAGCAATTACTGAGCTTCCAAGCAAAAGCCAAATGTGAGCTCTTCACTAAGGTTTGCAGCAGCGTTGATTGTATCACATTTCAAGTGGTTATTCTATGAAGAATGGCAATTAACTTTGCATTATCTCAAGCGTGGATATTCTGCCCCTTGCTTTGACTCTACTGTCCTAAGGAGGCTCACTGCATCTGGAAGAAGAGCTGAACAGGATGTATGGCACATACAACACTGTAAGGCCGGGCAAGATGCAAGACATAAAGCAGTTCAGGCTCGTCTCTGAGAGCCCCAGAAGACATTTTTCAATGAAACAAAAATGAAGCCATTAAGACCAAACATATTTATGGTGCAAAGAAAATACTGAAAGAACCTCACAGAAAAAGAGTTGGGTAGGTAGAAGATGAGAGCAGATGTGGAGGACCACCTCTCTGCAAAGGCAGGAGGTGGAACGAGAAGTGTGCCACTTCACAACCCTCATGTTCAGCCCAGGACCAGTCCAACCACCTGCCAACCTAAGCACAATTTGCCCCTGGCAACCAAACAGCTGCCCATACCTAACAGGGTAAGGGCACAGCAATTGCAAAGTACATGGAAGCAGCTGATCCCCAAAGGTTTTCCCTTCCCTTGTATATTCAGCTGCCTGTCACTGCAGCAGTGCTGAAGAACAGCGGCTCTCATCTTGTGCCAGGAAAGAAGAACAGATGCTCACCAGGTTCACTGCCAGCCAAAGGCATTAAAGACTTTGCTGGATCAGGCCTACAGCAAGTACCAAGGTAGCCACTGCTGCTCTTTTAACTTTGGACACAGGAAAGGGAACATCCCCAGCTTCTCCTGCATGTACACATTTGCAAACCAGAGCTCTGCTACAAACCACATAGTCCTAAGATTTCACATTGTCAGGAGACACCCAGACAACCATGCAAGACAAGTCAACATTTCTGACAGCAGTGTCTACTTTTCTCCCAGGCAAGTGACAAACGTGACCTGCCCACACCTCTCCCCGCCACAGAAAGCCCTAACCACAATAGCTCCAGCATCACAGGGTGCACGTAAAATTCATGTAATCTATACAGAGCCCTTTTACCCATGTCAGTCAGGATACATCTGTGATCTAAAGTACTGCCAAGCAAACACAATGGTTTTGTGGGGGTCCAAAGGAAGAGGGGTGGGAGTGTCACACCTATTACCTGCTGCTGTTGCTGCTGCTGCCTCTGGAATCGTGGGGGAAGAGATTTCTGGTATTTGTTGAATTCCAGTGCTGGGGAGGGAACTTCTCTGAGCTCCTCCTCACTGCTGCTTTGGGCTGCTGCTGCTGGAGCTGGAGTCTCCTCTTCCAGGTAGCCAACAGAGACATCCTGTGTGTGAAACTCAGGGGTTGCTGCAGAGGAGAAAATAAGCCTTGATAAGCCCTGCTCATGACAGGATTTGTGCGTGCACCACCACACCACAACATACACGTGTGGCCATGTCCTGACTGCATTAGGTGGTTGAACTTTATAACAATCATATATAGCATGTTACACACAATCTCCCTGATTTGCCTTGACAGCTCTAGAGGGCTTTTTCCATCTCGTTTTAGTGATAAATTCCAAGATCAGCCTTCTGTTTAAGCACTGGGGGAAGAAGTCCATTTGCCCTGTTACTCCTTAAACCTGCCAGCACTTACTGATAACTGATTTTCCGATCCGTGGCCCATGAGCATTTTCTTAGTATCAACATCCAATCATGAGAAGATCAAGAGGCCCATTTCAACAAGGTCTCTGCTAGCACAGCTGACTGAGCATAAAGGCAACCAAAGAAGTTTGCACTTGTTAATAGTTTGGTTTTTTTTTCTTTTTTAATGAACCTTCATCACCAATGCAAAATACTCTGCAGAGTACGTGAAGCAGCTGATCTCTCAAGTGCACCTGAAGTACCCTCTGAACACTCCCTCCCAGGAACTCCCCCACACTTCAGGTAAGAGATTGGCACAATAGCAAAAAAGCAGTTTTTACAAGGTGAGGCAAGCAAGGTTTCTTTACCTCTACAGAAAGCATGACCATTCTCTTGCACAGCATTTTTCTCTGTGCTTGGGGGTCGCAGGTCTTCATTCTCAGTGTGTTTCTGGGTCTCCCCATTCTTCTGAGCCAGTTTGCATTTCTGATCAAGTTGTTTCAGCTTTGCAGCACAGGCTGCCAGACGCTCCTCCCTGGCTCGCCGCTCCTCCTCCTCCCGTCGCCTCCTGGCTCTCTCGACAGCCTCTGAGATCTCAGAGTGCACAAACTTCTGTCTCAGTGGCACCTTTTCTTCTTTATCCTCGAGGGACTGCTGTCTGAGGATACTTCCCAGTGTGGGCTTCTGCCAAAGGAAAAACATTCCTCATTAAGCATGGCCCAAACATCTCCTGTATCTTGAGCTTTGCATCCCACGCTGAGAAAAATCCCCTCCTGACTCCCTCCCCTATATCCTCATGTACACAAGTCTCCTTTTTGGTGGGAAGTTATTGCTATCTGGTTCAGTATCTCCATTTTCTCACTGTCTGACAACCCGACTGCTCTGGACCAGCTTCAATTTCTTTTCTCTAGTGGGAGTGCTATGCAGATGGATTTCTGTCCAGCTGGATATAAACAAAGAATTGAGAAATTCATCAGCATCCTGCTTTCAATAAAATGTCAAACTGGCCTCTTAAGGACAGCGATGCATCGCATCCAGCACCGCAAGTCCACTTGCATGAGTTCAACCTACCTGGTATTCAGATGCAGAGCTCCAGCCATTCAGCTTCCTCGGCGGCTGCTGTGAATCCTGCACTTTCCGGACTGACCGGGACAAGCCAACTGAGTCGCCCCAATTCTTTCCTTCCTCCAAGGTGTGTTTGACATCTGCACTGTCTGCAGAGCTCAGGGACAACTGTCGTTGCCTTCTGGGATCCCAGCTGTTCCTGTCATGTAAACAGCTTTGCTATTACATTTGCTACTTGCCTCAAAAAGCACTTGCAGTCCTATCAAGTGGCAAAGGCAACTGACTGTAACAGAAAGGAAAGATCAAAAAAACAAAAAACCACCAGAACAAGTACTGCACTTTTCCTCCTATGGTACATAAGGATTCAAACCACTAGCAGGAAAAAGGTGAGACACAGAAAGGGGACTAGAGAAAAAAAAAAAAAAAGCTTGGCATCCTGGCACTCGCCTTCAAGACCTAAGCACACCCTTGAAGCTCACTCAAACAATGGCCAGTAGAATCAACAAAAATCATAGTATGAATCAGGGGGATCAAGCCTCAACATTTAGAACAAGTTTTAAAAAGATCCTGGTATTGTTTACTTTTACTGAAACAACTGTAGGTGCAAATACAGCCACTTCTTACCACTTCTGTCGTCCATCTTTAAGAGTTTCTTCTTCTTCCTCATCTTCACTAAACTTTAGTTTCTCAGAGTAATCCACTTCATCATGAATGCCTATGAAGGCAGGATTGAAGAAGGGATATGTGAGAGGAAAGAAACAGGTCCCTTGCCCTCATAAAGCTTATGCCCTCTCAGGCACTAAACCAGAGAATGCACAGGCTTGGCATAAACTACTTGGAAAGCCAAATGCCCACCACAGATACTGGAAATGATGCGAGTAGTGTGGACCCACACTGCTGAACAGCTGGGCTGGTCCCAGGAGAGGAGCAGCAAGCAGTCTGGGAATGGGGGCTGCAAATGAGGAGACAGCCACTCCCTGCGCTATCCTGCTGCAGGATAGCACAGACTGCTATCCTGCTGTTTGGTGTTTTCAGCTTTTAGGAGTCTTCAGATCCAGTTCCTTGAGTACAGTGTGATGGAAGGATCAGAAGGATCCATTGTGTCATCATTTACACCAACAGCAATTTCACAACTACGCAGACCACTCTTTGCTTCCCCTTCTTCCTTCCGTGGCAGTGAAACAGAGCCACCAGAATATCCTGGTTATTTCATGCTTCAGGGAGGAGTAACTATTTTGCTTCACCTCCTAAGCTGTTGTCTGAAGCTAGAGAATGGAAGCACTTTACCTGCCCATCCATCATCCGCATCAGTGTCTAGTTCATCCAGCCCCTTTAGGTTCTCTGCATTGATAATGGTGGGCCGAGGTGCTCTCTCTACTTGCTGCCGAACTGGACGTGTTGGGCGAGACAGGCTGAGCCTGTTCTCTTTTCTACAGGGAAATGCAAAGAAACGGTTAGAAACAGTAAAGAAAAGAACGTAGAGCTGAGTTTGTAACAGTGAATCAGTCCTTTTCTACCATACACTTATATACAACGGCTCCAAGTTTCTCTCCCTGTCCAACGAAGCTTCTTTCCCTTGTCTACCTGGTACCCACTTCCTAGGGCTTACAGACCAGAGCTGCAACCCTTCCAGTCCAGGATCACATACAACTACTTCTCACATCCACCTGCTCTTCAGATGCACAGTCCTTACAGTCCTTTAACATTTCAGATACTGCTGTAGCCAGAGCAAAGCACTGCTTCTTTGGGTAAAAATCAGGTTCCCTCTGTGGCTGCCTGCAGCTTCACCCACGCAACTAGGGATCCTTGGCCCAAATTCTTGCATAGTTTAAGGTTCATGACATGCCCAAACCTGCCTCTCAAGTGGGACAGTCATGGCAGCCTTACCCATCCTGGTCATTCATCTGGTATTGTCTGAAAGGTACCCGGGGCTCAAGGCGAAGCTGAGGAAGGGGGAAAGACCCTCGGTCCAGCGATGCAGGGGTCTCAGATGGCTGTTGTGGACACATCTGGAACAAGGCAAAGCAGAATAGTGTTTTTCTCTCCTTGCCACAGGAAGGCTTACCCAGATTAGGTTACAACATGAGCATGGTAGCTGCATCCGTACAAAGGGAAAACAAAAATTTCACATCTGGCTGCCTAACAGGCCACATGCTAATGGTTATCCTCTCCAGCTCGAGGGAAAGCAGCAACTTTTCTTTGGGCTGAGCAAAGGCTGTGCTACACTATTCAAGCATGAAAGGGTAAATGCACAACAGGGGAAACTAAAAATAGACCAAGAGAAGGATCCCTGAGCAAGCCCTGGATACCAAAAGAGGGTCCAGAAAACAGATATCTCAGCTGACTTCGACCCACACACACGTTATAAGTAGTAAGGACATTACACAGCTGTGGGGAGAGGGCAACTTACAAAAGCAGGTAGCATGTCATGGTACGTAGGTGGTTGGTAGACATTTCCCATGAACTGTGAAGCCCCTTTGCGGACAGGCTGAGCTGGGCGGAGAGACGGCTCCTTCGGATCGCTGGCACTCACTGAGGAGGGGGCTCCGTCTCCAGTGCTAGAGGTCTTGCTGCCCAGCTCAGCAGGGGAGGCGGTCAGAGATGTGGCAGAGGTTATGTTCCTCCCACCGCCCTCCCTCCAACTGGTGACATCTGGAAAGGAGGTAATAATTATGTTAACATTTGTAACTGCAGACAGTCACTCTGCCAGAAAGTCTCGAAACTCAAATACTCTGGTCAAGCCCTAATTACACCAAGCATGTAGAAAAACATCAGGGACCAAGGAAAATTTCCAAATGCGCTTATTTTCCTAAGAGACTAGCAGCACCAGCCGTTACTAAGTAATTGCTGCACCAGTGGTGCCCTTATTTGTCAATAAGCCTAAATTCCAACCAACTCTGCTCCCCATCTCCACAGCCCTTACCCTGCAGAATTAAGGCCAATTAGATCATGCACAAACACTCGAAGGGAAGCCACATCACACCACCCAATCATTTCACTTGTGAATCCCCTAGCCCAGGGGGAAGGGGCCTGCTTTGCAACATCTCACAGCAATTTTTATTAAACAATGTAGTAGATAACAGTCCATACTTGGCTGTCTGGACCACAGAACTCAGCCAGTGAACATGAGCACTACATGTAAATCCGTGGTCATCTGCTAAGCAGCTTGACGCATGTGAGCTCATAAAAAGATAAAAGGAAACGTAAGGATGGAATATCTGATACGACTGTGAACTGGCATGCCCCTGCCCAAAACACAGTCTATGGGGTTATGAGCTGGGGTAAGGCACAAAGACACAATCAGTCACTTACTCTGGGGGCGGAGGCTTGGTCCTGGCCCATACGACGGATCTAAGGCGCCCTTTTCTTTGCCAACCTTGTCCTGCTCGCCAGCTGCTTTCAGCGTCGGAAATTCCTCGGGAGAGAAGGATAACAGTCGGCTTGAGGCCCTTGAACCTGTCAGACAAATAAGTGTGGGACTTAGAGAAGATCTTTCCACTCTTTCAATTCCCTTACGAGATCAGCCTGGAAATGTGTTTCCTGAGAATCTGGGCCTCCAGCATATTTAAACCCAAATTACTACTGTACCAGCACCTCAGCTCACACCAAAAACACTCTCAGACACTGTCACCAACACGACAACACATGTCCTCACCCAGTACTCCCACACTCTTAACTTGGGATCTTCATTTAAATTGTCACGTTCAGCGAAGCCAGAGTGAACTCTCCCAGCTTCCAATTATTTTTGTAAAGTACAAAATTCAGACTGAAGCAGAGATACAAATTCTGCAAGATTGCTTATAGATGATATCCTGTTATCAAGTATTCAACATTTCTATTCAGACTCTTTCTGCTCAGATCTCACTCTACTGGGGAAGTCTATTGTTAAGATTTCTGGCAATATACTCAGTGAAAGACCACAGATAAGGACCAAGTGCTATATGCTATACCCCACTCTCCTCCCTGCAGCAGCATTTTTAAGATGCAGATCACCGGCCAGATCAGGCCAGGTTCATTTCTAGTCATTGACAAACTGTCTCGCCGAGTCAACAGCCACCCTAAAATGACAGCTTTCTGTCCATTCTGAAGATCTGCCAGTGACTGGAAGAAAGCAAAACACAGCAAATCTCTTAAATTTGTTGGCAAGATAACACCGACTAAAAAGAAATTGTCAGCATTATTGCATTACTAAACATTAAAAAAATTGCTTTTTTTGAGAACTGTTTCTTGGTGTTACTTGGCTAATGCTCTTTTCAAAAAGGGCATTTCAGAATTACCATGTTAGAAGTATCAGCAATGAGTACTGACGACCTGACAAAAGAGTGTCACCTATCTTTATTCTTCCTTGCACTAAAGAGTCAAGAAGGACTGGCTTCTTTAAGTCATTTTCACTTTATGGAACTTGCACACTGCACAAGACCTCCCATCTGAAGATATCCAGGGAGGACACTGCAACTGCTGCACGTAACGTCTTCAAATATTTTGGACAGATGAGAATACACAAGAAGGACATTTCTCAAACACACCACAAAATATCTGAGATGTGCTGAGAGTTCCGATTTCTACTGCATTATTCTACTAAACTAGAATGACAATGAGAATATTAACAACACATAAGTGTCTTTCAGGGGAGAGAATTCTACCCCCCCCCCCCCCCCCCCCCGAGGTAAGGCTGCAAAATGTAATGACTGTTAATGTGCAGGCATTAACAATTTGCACTCTAACCCTAGGCAGCACCACACTGATAAAAGTTTGGTGCATCTTTTTTTTTCCTCCAAATGCCCCCTATACAGAAGACAGAGGCATGGAGCAGTTCATAATTAACTTATTAGACTACATTTCTTCAGGATACAGCCTCCAAAAAAGGTTTTACAGCAGTAATACCTAAAAGAGAGCAAAGAGCAAAAGGCTTTCCTCTTTGTCAATAATATTAGAAACTGCTGTATTAGCTTAGAAGGAAAAGCAATTGTTCAATGCCACTGGAGAAGAGGTGCAAGGATGGGATGGCCTAAGAAGTCCTTTCAGCCAGATTTCTGATGCTTCTGTGACTCAATTACCTTCTAATTAAGCTGCTCTTAGCCACATATGCAACTCTTTTCTTGGGTTGAGAACTCTATACTGATAAGTGTGACCTAGAATGAGTTTTCAAAAAATCTTTAAGAACATTGTTAGACAATCAGATTTCAAAATGACTGTACAGGAGGTCCACACAGCAACAGTCTCAAAAAAAGTACCAATTAACCAAACAAGACACCGTCTTTGCACTGGCCACCAACCTCAGGCAAGCACAAGTCTCTAACATTTAGCCTTTGAGAAGCACCCTCTCGTTAAGGGAGTCATTTAATTTAGGATGAGCTTGTCCCCTCCACTTCTGCTATCTACAGCTGTCTCAGTTCTTTCCAATCTCTCTGCAATTTCACTCAACAACTGAATGGTTCCAGGTCTGTTCACATTAAAACAGTGGAACTGAGCTATTATACTCACTATAGTTTTAATGGTAGTACTCAGTGCAGCTGGAAACCACCTCCTGTGTGGAAATGGAGGCATCTGAAGACAACTAAACTCCCAATTTATGTTAACACTGCTTCAGGATCCTCAGTCAAGCAGAAGCCATTAGCAACACAGTTGCTCAGAGAGACTTAATAGAAAGGCCTCAGCCAAGGTGTAAAAAGTGCATCCTGCAACAGCTTCAGTGCCACGTCCACTCACTGACACTAATACCCTTGGACCATGGATGCTGTGTACAGCCTCCCTGAGCATTACCATTACAGCCTCACTTTTGACCACCTAATTAGGTGAAGCTCCTGATGCTATTAGCCATGGAGATGCCTACATTTCCAGTCTCCAATGTCCTTTTCTTCTAAACCAATCCCTCCCTTCTTCCAGTCTGTTTTCTGCACCTTTATTACACACTGCTCTGGGCTGACGGAAGACACTTACAGGCGGGGGGCAAATGTTTCCCTTCTCCTTCAAAACTTTCACCTCCCAGAACTCCCTGCTGCTTCCCAAGTGCATGAATCATTCTGGTTCAAGATGGTGATGGGGCACATTCTGCTCAAGCTCTCTCCTGCACTGGCAGACCTGAACAGATGCAGTTGCCTCACTCCAGCCAAAACACTACACAGACTGAAAACAAGACTCATATGGCCTCAAAGCACTGTAACCAAGACAGCTGTGTCCCATTCCACACCAGTCTAGACAGGGAGGACAGGAAGAAACGGAGGACACCCCATCTCATGCTGGTCTGGGAGAAGCAGGCACATACCCAGCTCCATTCCTGTTTATCATACTCACCACCTTCTTGTCCTGCTGGCTTTCCATTCAGCTGTGCCCATGACTTTGGTCCACCTGGCACTGAATTTGTACTCTGAAAACAAAACAGAACACAAAAAAAACCCCAACGCCCACAGATCAGTGAAGTCCCATGACCGTTTCTCATTTCTTGGCTAGCACCTGCTACAGTTCAGACCTCTAAATCACCCAGATGTCACTGGATACCACAGGTCTCCCCAGCTTCTTGTTGGGGCTAAAGTTAGTTGCTCCCCACTCCAGTGCACTATGATGCTACAGCAAAAACACTCTCCTCTGCCCTGCCTCTCATCTCTCCTCTGCTCATCTTCACCAGCTATTTCCTCAAACCATTCCTCTTGCTTTCCTCCCTCTAATCAAGCTTTCCCTTTGTTCTGTTGCATTTTTCCAAAAGGTCCCTCAAACTTCTAGATTTGTTCCATGCTACACCTCAGCTTGAAGGCTACCCTACTTTCTCATGCATTAACCACTCCTCTCCTCTTCAAAACACAACTCCTGTCTTGATTTCCCTGAACCTCAAGGGCTGGGAATTTTTTTTAAACTAAAAGTGTGAGATCTGTAGCACAGAGGGGCCAGGTCCCTGCACTCTCTGGGGAAGCTTTCTTACTTGCCAGTAGCTTTTTCAGGTCCTGACACTGGCTACTTCTCCCACATGACCAGATCTCTTCTTATCAAGTCTCATCAGGCTGGGAGCAAGAGCTGGATCTGTTGTCACCAAGCGACACTTGAATTAGACCCAAAGTAAAATAGTTTAGAAGTGCTAACCAGCCATACCACATTCCAGACATTCTTTCTAGATTGAAGCAGCACTTTCTGCACACACTTGAAAGGTACAGAGGTAATGTGCACAGAATTATACTTTAACTGCAGCACAGCATTCCTTAGGCACAGTAACTTGGAGTCAAGACAGTCACTTCTACAAGAATTGATTATACAGGAGCTGTTCTGTAAATTGCAGTCTGCTGATTCTTACTTGTACAAGGCAACACAGACAATTAAGGAAAACCCTTAAGCTGTCTGGGGACAGGGGAAGCAGGGTGGCAGTCACAGAGACCACTTGCACCTACCTCCTGACTGATTGACTGTGTCGGCTTCTGTAAATTGGAGACAGATTTCTGCAAACCCTGCTGCGGCAGCGACTCCTGCAGCTGTGCAGCTGTCGCACTGGAACTGAAAAGAGACAGCAGAGGTGAGATCAGAGGGGAACACAGGCAATAAGACAGACAAACAACTCTGGCAATATAGCAGTTGCTAAAAGATCAAGCTAACATTGGCTCTACACTGGCATGGACAACAGAACTGATCACTACAAGGTCCAACACACAGCACAGCGGTGCACAACTACTGCTGCTTGCCTGACAAAACTTAGCGAAGAGTAGTTCTACCTACCTCTTTTGGTCTGGCTGATCCTGCTTGTTTGCCCATCCTGTACCGTCCTTGGGTACTATAATGATGTTGGGGTCGTTTCCTTTGTTCTCAGACTTCAAGCTAGGCAAGTTTGCAGGAGGTGGCATGCGCCGGGCAGCAGCAACTTTCCCAAGACTCTGTAAGCCATGTCTAGGAATAACTAGTGAGAAAGGAACAATGGTAGGTCATAGAGGGCTATATCCTGCTAGATAACTAACCTTAATTAGCATACTGTAGCTGAGTGCAGTCCCAACAGAACTGTATGACAAGCAGCACCACTGCTGCTATGTCAACATACAGGACATTTCCCACATGACCACTGTGTAGCAGCCATCTGCTGTAGCAGCTTTTTAACAGGTAGCCTCCTACAACAGTCAGGAGGGAGAGAGAAATAATTCTCCCTAACAGAAAATGCCCACAGAGTCTTTTAGCTACCTGTGCAGATACTCCTCTTTCATTTCACCAAGAAGCAGCAGCATCGCCCTTTCACAGCTTGGGGAAATGGCCATCCAAGTCCACCTCTTAGCAGACAGACGGGTAATCTAACCCAGGAGTCCCGAGGTCTAGATTTTCCAGCTCCACCCACCAGATCACAATTATTAAGATGGTATTTTATTTTCTTTGGTTTTCTACTCCCACACTGAATCCAGAGCCAGTCCAGGCAAAGTTTCCATTTTTTTTGACCCCACCATCTACTTTTGGTCACATCTCCACTGCAAAACTAACTCAAGTTCTTCCGAGAGGCCTTCAGTCCTCAACTCTCACCTCACACAATGTCTGACCAATTTAAGGCACTTCAGTCAGCTTAACTGCCCTGTCTTGTTACAGCCTAAGGCCTGGGTAAGACTTTCACTCAAGTTTGCAACCTGACCACTTTGCAGCAAGGACACAGGCTAAACGAAAGGGCCAACAGTCCACCATCTGTTTTGCCATAATTCCTCTGTGTCTCTACAATAACAGCAGCACAAAGAAACACAGACATTTTCCTTGAAGTCCTAATGAAGCACAGGCTTAGACAGCAGCAAAAACAGCTCTGCAACCCAGCTGCTTCCCACTGGGCATCCTACCCACAGGGCCAACAACCTGAACTAGCTCTGCAACAACACTCTTGAGAGACACCAAAAACGAGCTTTCTGAAGGCATTTCTTACCTGTAGTTCTGATAGCTTCTATTGACTTTCCTTTATACTTATCAAACAGGCTGAGAGTCGAGTACTTGCTTTTCCCATCCTTTCCCTTGGTTATTTGCCCCAAACGATCGGACATTGCGATGAAATGTCATCTAGTAAGGAAATTTCTCTGCGCCGCTCCCGATCTACCTTTTAATGAAAGAGAACCAGGGAAATGCCATCAAACTGATTATTTAGCCACAGACAAGTAAAAAGTAAAACATGCACAACTGCTACAACTGCAGATATTCAGCGAGCAGACACACTAAGTTACAAGGTTTTAACCCCCTCCTCTTAGTCACAAGAAGTTTGTGGGACTTAAGATTCATAAACTGAATTAAAAGAACTGCAGGAACACACTTCTCACAGCATGATTTTTTTTCTGCCACTCCAGTGCTGAAAGAGGTGAGCTTCTTTAGGTACGAGAACACAAGACAGGGTTGTCAACACAGTCCTTGCTTTAAAAGAACCAGTCTAACAATAAGCAGCTATGGACAAGGATTCCTAAACATAAATGACAGAAAAGCACTGTTATCTTATACCACACTAGAATTTATCATTGGGTTTCCTAATGAAGCACTGGTAGCAGAGTTCGTAATGTTTAAGATTATGGTTCCACACTGGCCACAGTTAATGACTCGTACCAGCAATTAATGCTTTGAAAGCATCACCTGAAGGCAACAGAGTTATTTCTTCAAATTCCCTTTTCCCATCTGCTGTCCATGAGAGAGAGTTAAGGAGTCCAAAAAAAACCTGCTCAAATGAAACAGGTTCAGACTCTTGAACCTGAAAATTCAGCAGTTCTACAATAAATCCTGAAAACACTTTATAAAAAAAGATTACATTTCTCTGTTGCTGGCACCTTCAACACCATTTTTAGCTATAAATGTACTTTTCACAATGGATGTGGTTTGTTAATTTTTCACTCTAACCTTTGCTGGCACAACATCTGTGATTAACACCCTTCATGCAAACAGTCTCTTCACTTTCACTTTTTGGCTCTTGGAGCCTAGGACAAAGCTGAAACATGGGGAATGCACACACTGTAGGTCAACTTGGATGTCAGAAAAGAAACTTTGCTTAGTTTCAATGGACCTTTCTTTCATTTTTTCAAGCATAATTCTCTGTTCTAAATTTTCTCAAATCTAGGAGCTCAATCTAACCTTTTCACATGTAATTTAGATTTCTAGATTTCTGGTTGTAAAGCCTCCACTTCAAGCCTAAAACTGCTGGCAGTTTTATTATACCATCTGCTAGGTCCCATCTTAGGGTTGTAACTCTGTGTGGGAGCAACAAAATGCTATATATATTGGACCTTCCCACCCTTCACCCTTTCTGAAACTCATCCAGCTGAAAGCATGTTTCAAACGCAGTCAGAAATCACTCTTTCTGAAAGAAACTGTATCTGACCAGAGGCTACAACTTCCACCAGCAACTCCTTATCAAACATGATTTCCAGTTAAGAGGATTAGTCCATCACGCATTATGTACAAAATAAAGCACAGACCACAAACATGTTGGATACAGCCAGTTTGAGACTGTACCGTGATCTGCAACTAGCTGAGTAAAGCCCATCTAAAGGCTGCTGCCAGGGGGCAAGTTCCTGACCAATAAACCTGGCACCATGCAGCGTTCATTCTTCCATTGCAGGATTTAAATCAGGCCTGCCAGGAGCAAGAAGCTGTGGACTCTGTGTGCTAGGCAGCAAGCAGCGTGGTCTGGGATAGAGGAAGAAAATAATTTTCTGTCACTCAGTAACAGCATCCACAGGATGCTCAGGAAAAACACCGAGATCCACAAGAAGGCCATCACAGCCACCTTTGCTGGACCACCACACAGGGCTGCAGCACAAAGGCCTGTGGAGGCAACAGGGCTGGCCCACGCTCTTGAGGCACCTTTTCCCGCAGAGTAGCAAACAGATCTTGGGCTCCAGTCTGGTTCAATCTTTGCTCAGATCGTCACCATGCATCAAAGAAAACAATAGCTCCTCCCTCGCTTGCCCATTTCCACTGTATTTTTATTAGTAGGACACACATAAAAGAGAAATGGAGAAAAAAAAAACACTGATTAGCACAGACTTGGCAGGAAAGTAGAAGCTGGACTGAGAACAATGGCCTGTTTGAACTGACAGAGTTGTGGGGAGCCTCGGACCAGAGGGAAGAGCAGAGGGTGCTGCACGCCAGCCCTCAGCTACGCTGGCAAGAGCACAGCCACCTGCTCTTACAGGTGTATTGAGCCTTGAGAGGGAGCCTGGCTCGGGGTCTATCCAGACGACGTGAATCCTGTACCAACCTCACGCAATCCCAAGCAATAAAATCCACTCTGAGGTTTAGAAAGCTCAAACCAAACACAATTAGTAGGCATTAGAGAGAGAAAAAAAGAACTACCACATCAGGTTCAGGAGTTAGCCGGTTAACAGAAAATCCCCAAGTTCCTTAAAGTCAGCATGCAAACAGCATGCAGGGTAACGCTGCCAAAGAGAAACCCTGACAACCAGTTATGTAACTGGGTCTCAGCTGCCTCTTGATTACATCTTGTATCATTAAAAGGATGCAGGAGGAATAAACAACCACTTCAGAGCAGGGGAGCTGGGGACACATCGGGATAAAGCCCCTTGTCAAACTTTCTGGGACAGCCACAACTGCTGTCTGGATAAATGAAATATTCTTTGAACTCCTTCAACACTTTGAAGCTGAAAACGTGAAACACAGCTTTGTTTGTATGTTATGTGTGCACTCCAAAGGGGAAAACAAGTCCATGGAGAGGTGAGGCACTTTCCATACAGTCACTGTGCAAAGAGGCTGCAGCAGCACTGAGGCCCCTCGGAGCCATCCCGTAGGCAGGACCCTGCTGCCTGTCCCTCCTGACAGCAGCCAGCTGCAGATCTGAACCAGTCCACGGGTGTTACTGGCCAGAGGGATCACTCGGCACCCAGGTCACCCACAGCACTTCAGAGAGGCCACAGGGACTCCCAAGGCTGTCATGACACTGGACGATTTTCCCACCACACAGTCAAGCAGGGAATCCAGGCAGGGATCATCAAGGCCTTCCAGTCTTGCAGAGGAAAGCCATTTCTGATAAAAATCAAGTTCATTAAGAATTGAACTGCCAGCCTGCATGCTTATTATTAGCAGAGCTAGAACCAGAAGGCACATGCCGATGCTGAAAACTGAAAACCTCAGCAAAGCCTCTAGCCTGTGCTCTGGGTTACCATGTCCGATAGCTGACCCTGAAGAAAGCATTACTCTCTGTTACAGAGAAATCAAAAACCCATCACCAGCATTTCTACAAGGTTTCTCTCTGGGTTTATAGCAGTCTCTGGGGGAAGGTTTGCTATCGGTTTTAGCATGGAGCTTAGCTCTTCTAGTTCACAGGACTAGCAACACCTCCTGTAATATCCAGGGACAGCACCAAAGTACAAAATATTGAGTGTCTCAGAGGAATCAGAAAATACTGCAATATGACCAGTTACATTTGAGATCCCAAGGTACAAATAACTGCACAAGAATCAGGTCCTGGGCAGAGCGCTCCGCTACCCAGGAGTCTTCATGTCCACATCATGTTTCCCTGGATTTGATGTTTTGGTGTTGACCCTGTCTAACTGCCTTTTAAAGGGGTATGTTCTAATCCAGAGAGCAGCAGTGACATTTTAAGTGCCAGGGCATGCAAGTCTTGGAGCTACAGCAGGGATCTAACAAGCACAGGGAGCCTGTCCTGCAAAAAAAGCCATGTGAAAACCTTGAGTTACTGTCACTAGTAACAACTGGAAACCCCCAAGCTGAAAACACAGCCAAAGGGAGAGACTCCTGACAAACGGGATTGTCTGCAAAGCTCTTTGTAAATCTGTGTACGAAGGAGGCTGGGCTGCCGGTGTTTTATTCACAAGACTTCAATGGAACTTGAATACCTGGAAGTTAGCCAGCCTTAATTGAGCAGGGCAAACAGATTTATGAAAGGTAACACACACACACTAGAAGGAATCACTTCAGATACTCGCACACCACTGAGCTCTACACTGAGCACAATCACTCGGGCAAAGGACCCGAGACCACTGCAGACCTTCACTCCTTGCTCACTTCACAGCAGCAGTCACAAACACAAAACAAAGCAACAGGATGGAGATTAACAGTGAAAAGGCTTTTCTCCAGAAGCAGGAAGATTTTTGACCTGAAATTTTATACAAATTGTTCAGAAACTCACAGGTTGCAAAAGCTGAACTGTACTTTCAAAAAAGAGACATGTTTGGTGCTGATGTTAAACTGAGATCTATTGTGGTTTCTAATGTTACTGATAATGTGAAACCTTTTAAAAAACATAGTATAGTTTTACAGAAGATTAGTGATGTTCACTTTTTTTTAAATACACGTGGTCAATTTTGCTGGCACTTCTCATTGCTAAACATTTATCTGTCAACAGGGAGACACCACTACTGGTCTCCTGGAACATGTCGCACTACAGAATCACCTATTTGTGAAACAGTCGCCACCTGCCTCAGCGATGAAAGACACCACTGGCTGCCCTTGGAAGAGCTTTGGTGAAACTGTGACCAGCTGTCCTAGGGACTTGGTGCCAGATGCACTTACATCCTGTAGAAGCCCTGTTTGGCCCAGGCAGGGATCATCAGCCTAGCAGGGAAGGGACCAGATGAGCATTTGGTTCCTAGGAGAGACTGCTTAGTAAGGAGGGGAGCAATACGAGAATATCAGCATCCAAGTACAAAGTCAACAGGATCAATGCAGAAGAGCTGTGCAGCAGGCAGAGGCTGTAGCAAGAGTCTAGGCCACAAGAAAATGCTTGCTGTTGTTCTGTTGCCTTGTTTCCAGAGGGAGCTGCCAAGATTTGTTGGTACACCTGAAAAAGGGCCTGCCGAGACCCTGAATGTGGCACCAAATCCTGCTAAACAGGGAGAAGCAACTTAGCAGTCTGCAGTGCAGAAAAAAGGTAGACACCCCATAGCAAAGACAGCTCCTGATTCATAAGGAGGGACCCTTCTTGCTTAGCTGAATAGGTCTATTTGGCAGTACCAGTTCTTTTAATTCTGCACAATTCCAGCTTCTCCCTGCATCTCCCATGAACCTTGTCTCCCTGTAAAGACAGGGAATGGGAGACCAGGATCACATCTCCCATGATTTATTGCAGAGGTATGCTGT